GACTTAAGTAGATACTTCTAAAACTGTTTTTTTTAGAAACCAGACAATAGACAAAGTCAAATAATTTAGTAATCCTGGTTTTAAAGTACCATCTTCAGCACCCTTAATGCTATCTATGGAATGTACCATTTAAAATGTAACCCAGTAACAGTCATGTACTGTGGTACAAAAATTAAACCAGAAGCAGGTAATGGGCTTTCCTGAACTCGCCTGTGGCACTTGAGTCAAGGTCACTGTAGTTGCTAGGCTGCTGCTCAAGCCAATTGTGCAAAGGCTGTGCAGGTGCAAACATATTTATTCTGTTACATTACTTTGCAACAAAATTGTTTGCTGCTGTTTATGAAGCACTTAGCAATGTGTATCCTGCCAAGGAAGTACCAAGTGAGACAATACATTTTGTGACTCTGTGTTAAGTTCATGTGTAGTAGTTATGGTTGCATTTTAAATGGAACAACCTGTATTTACAAAATACCTGGCTCAAACAAGGACAAATTAAAAGGAAGACTCTTTTGTCAAAACAAAAGCAAATTACTTGATTCAATTAATTGGATTTTATAACTGTGCTCATAATTGTATGCCTTCACCAAATTATCAGTTCATATGTTTATGCATTAAACAAATTAACACTTCTACTTTAGAATATAATGAAATGTGTTCTGTGACTTCACTTGTCCTCAGGGACTGAGAATCACTGATGGTGTTAGGAGGTTGTCAAGATTTGCACCTAAAGGTGACTATAGTGTGATTCATGAACAACCATCTCTTTTTTTATATCTTCCAAAGTTGCACAACCTAGGAAAGAATTGAAACATAAAAAAATTAATAAATGGAAGACAGTTATACAGGCCGCAGTAGAAATAACATATTACATACCAGTAAGACCCATGACAGAGTCCAGCTCATTTTTAATGATACTGAGGATGGATTTTACTCCATCCTCTCCACCACAGGCCAAGCCCCACAGAGCAGGACGTCCCATGAAAACCATTTTTGCTCCCAGTGCCAAAGCTTTGAACACATCTGTTCCCTGCCTTATTCCTCCATCCAAGTAAACTTCACATTGTCCATTTACTGCTTTCACAATCTCTGGCAGTACTTCAATCTAAAAACAGAGTAAAATCGATACTGGGATACTGGGAATGACCCATTCTGAGCACTGCGGGTCCCAACTTTTCGTTGGCTTGATCTATAGACATTTTGGTAGGACTCCTTGGATGAGGGATCGGCCCGTCGCAGGACAGCACAACACAGAAAAACGCGGACAAACACCCATGGTTTGAGTGGGATTCGAACCCATGGTCCCAGTGACCAAGCCTCCGACCACGCAGCCAAAATTGATACAGTCAAGGAAAATTAGAGTTCCTTTCATTTGGAAAGATGTTGAGGGTGAGGTTAATTCTGTAGAGCCTTTTTATTAATTTATCTTAAGGTGGAAAGGAAAAGCTGCAGAATAGTATGGAGTATCGTAATACCACGGCACAACATTATAACATATTGCTTATTCTCTATTTGTTAGTATTATTGAAAATTATGATTCCATGGTATTAGGCATCCATTCTGCCTACCTAATGACCTTCAGAATACTTCACTGCTTTTGGATACAGTAATAATTGTTTTTTCAATCCCATAAAAAAGGTTCTGTGCATAACTTTGGCTTTTAGGGGCTAGGTGCAATGTTTTGGCAAACATCAGATAATATTCAACATTCGATGTGACACTCCCAAAAACTGAAGTTTTACACTGAAATTCAGAACTTCAGCCACAAAAACCTAAGGACAGCCATTAATTAGGTTCTTTACCAACATGATAAGGTCTATTGAATAAAATTTTTCTTGGATATTATCCATCGTCTAGTAAATATAAAACGTAAAACGACGTTTCGGAGATGGGACTCTATTTCCGTCTTCAGGTTCCTACTCAGTTGGGCCCACTAGATAGAGCTAATCCCTATCTCCGGACCCTCTTAGAAATCAGACGGGAAGACAAAATATTTTGAACTGAGAAGTAGCAAGCATTTCCAGAATTTAATCTCCTCCTAACTTCCTCATGAGTGTCATTTTCATTTGTTATTGTTGTTCCCAGATATTTGAACTTTGTAACCCTTTCAAAGGACTTATTAGCTACCGTAAGATAATTTTGCCCGCCTGTCTTCTGATGACGAGATACTAACATGTACTTAGTTTTTTAAAAATTCATATAAAATAAAACAGTCAATGCAATAGGCTACGAGAGTAAGTGCAACACAAGTGAGTTATAGCAGAAGTAAACTTTTAGAAAGAATGGAGAAGTTACTGTTGCTATGGGTGGGTGACATGAATTGAAAAAACATTCCCTTGACTGAAATTGCTATAACGGATAAGGCGAAGTCAATTTTTGAGGAACTTAAGTCGTCAATGTTTGGGTGCCAGGAACGCATGTCATTGACTTCCCATTGATTTACATTATAAAAAGAGTTTCAATTTACGCCGGTTCATCCAGGAACGCATCCCCGGCGTAAATCGAGGTTTACCTGTATTATGTTTTGTGAAGTTTTATAGTGAGCAAGCACAGTGCTACAGTGATAAAGTATTTAAATTCTGTTCGATCTTTACCATGTTCAAATGTCAGCCAGTGACCACTGTGCCCATAGCTTGCATAAGTTTTCTGTCTTTTACAGAAAATACTAGAACTGTACCATGATCGACATTATCTTGTCCTTTCCATTACACTTTGTTAGCGCATATGCCTTTACAGTGTCCCTCAGTCGCACTTTTAAATTCTGGAAAGATTCCTGCTACACTCACCGAAGCTGGAGTAAAATCCACTTGGCGAGCACCATGGTTTGATACCAATATGGCAGCTACACCCAGACCTGCAGCAATTGCAGCATCATCTGCTGTTAGGATACCTTTCAGAATCAGAGGCAGTTGAGTGATGCTAAAACCAAACAAATAAGGCAGATCACATGATGAAATTCCAAGCAGTAATGAGGCTGAAGATATAAAGAGAAAATAAACAGCATAGAAGCATAGGAGGAAATAAATGGTGGAAAACAGAAAATTAAAATGGCTTCACAAAGCGACAACTTGCAGAAGTAGAAATGTCTGAGGCAATGATGATAAAACACACAACTGACATGTCTCTTATCAGTAAATACTGTGATTTTGTGAAGAAACAAATAACATAATGTCACAAAACATGGAGCTGATCCATTCACCATCTACCAAAGAAGACCACATTATTTATTGATGTCATGTGTGTTCATTATGAGATTAGGAGAAAAATGAATTTTACAAATAATAATAATAATAATAATTCAGTTTTGATACTGTTATTATCCAAAATGCTGATTATCAGGACATACAAAATGAGTTTCACCAGATATGTGCATAAAACAATCAACAGTTTTGAGGGAAGGGCATAAATTAAGAGTGTTTGCAAACTGAGTTCTTATGGGCCTAAAAAGGATCAAGTGAGCATGTATGATTTGAAACTTCTGTGGTGACTAGACTGAATAAAAGCATCTCAGGCAATCAGCCATGTCAGTTGGTTAAAAGAAGAGATTGATGTTTTCGGAACCACTGCCATTCCCATCATCAGGGCTCTGGTGTAACTGGATGTCTCCAACATCTCCTATTTTTGCAAGAGCATTAGTCCTGGGCAGGTATATACAGGAGATAATGCATAAAGAGGAACTATGAGATTTGTGTAGGTCCCTTGGTAGTGTTATAGTAGTGACTGTAGGATGATGCCATGATGGGTTGGGTATGTAGCTAGAATGGGAGGGGGGTGAAGAGAGAAATGTGCACATTTTTCACAGAGAAATAGGAAATGGTCATTTAGAAGATGAAGCCTAAGATGTGGGAATAATATAAATATGGATCTCTGGTAAGTAGTAGCAGTGCAGTTTCTCGGACAGCCGATTCAATGGGTCAAAACAGCGCGGTATCTGGGATCACCCTTGACGCCGGCCTTACCTGGTCGGCGCACGTCAACCAGGTGGGAAAGAAGGCGGTGCAACGATTGGGTGTGCTAAGTCCGCTCCTTAACAGGAGGAGTGGCCTGTCCATCAGGAACGGTGTGCAGCTCTATATGCAGCTCATCCATCCCATGATGGATTACGCATGCCCGATCTGGAGGTCAGCTGCCAGCAGTCACGTCAGGAAGCTGCAAGTGGTGCAATCCAAGTGTCTTCGCATTGCTACTAATGCGCCTTGGTACGTTAGTAACAGGCAAATACACGAGGATTTGGGGATCCCGCTCTTTGCCGACCACATCAGAGCACTGACTGAGAGATTTGACTCAAAGTTAGCTGGTGTGGGGAACCCCTTAGTCCGGCAACTCGGGAGGCACTTGTGCCGAACGAGGGCTGTCAGAGGTCACCCAAGGGCAACCGAGGGGGACTAATGTTCAGCAGACCAGCCAAGGCTGTCCCCAAAAGACGGCCAAGTAGGCGCAACAAGTGGTCAGACTACTCAGCTACCCTGACTGAGGTTTTCCGTGATTTTCCTCAGTTGTAAGGCAAATGCCAAGGTATAATTTAATAGGGGCACGGCCCCCCCCCTGATCACGGAGACCTTCAGCTGAAGTGATCTCCCCCCCAAGCCGCAGAGGCCTTCAGCCGAAACGGCCCCTCCCTCTCTGGGTTCAAACCTCAGAGAACCAACCAACCAAATTCTTTGGACAAGTTGCCTGACGGGATAACCTCCCATCAGCAGCAGCAGACCCTAGTTTGAATGGTCGAGGCTCCTGCCACGACGGAACCTTGTTAGCATTAGCAAAATTTCCGGTTTCTTATTTATAAGGCTCTATTTACCATTTCCAGCAATGCGTTTCGTATGCAGGGATGGTGTTACCTAGCAAGGGACGATGCTCGCGCTTGTTCAGGACTCCGCCCTTAGTTAGCTTTTTTGGTTGGTTTTGTTTGGTAGAATGGAGGACTATGGATTAACTCACAGGCTTTGGTATTAGCAGTGTTGAATCTTCAGCATCTCATACTATATTGTTAGTTGCTTCACACATGAGCTGTCAGTATTTTCAACATGCATGTAAAGATAACAGAAAACATGAAGCATTTAACTGCACATAACAATCCTCTGAGTTCCATGTAAAAGCAATCTTGCCCAAATATGTAAACAAGGCTGGCTAAGTGCTCAGGATATCATAAAAATGGGTATAATTTGCTATCATTAGACAATCATTATCTTCAAAACAATATATTGCACAAAGAAAATGCACACACATACCACTCATCTCATCTTCCCTGATTTAATCACCCTAGTTGAAGAATATGAATTATGAAGCTCCTCATTATGTAATTATTACCATCATTCAGTTACATCCTCTAGATTCAAATATTCTCCTTAGCCCTTTCCTTTAAAAAGTAATCCTTGACATGGAAATATAATATAAGAACAGTACCTTTTTAGCCATCTAACATCATCCCAGGTCACAGACTGGTCGAATAGCTTCTTAACGTATTCATTAATACCCGAATCAGATTCAGATTTTACACCAGTTGCTTTGATGCCTTCAAAATTTGCCAGACTGAAAAAAAGCAGAGCAGTTTAATTAAAAGCTGTGGTAATAACCAGTGATGGAGTTGAGCAATGGCAAATGTCAGTGGATGATAATGAATGAGATTTATTGAACTGTGTTCTCTTATACATAGATCTGTGTCCACTTAACAATGAGTTCTTGTGGCCCATATGTCTTTTACATATATATCCATTAATGCTGCTCTTTTATTATATAGTACATCTTTCTTTTATTATATTTATATTTCCTCATCACTTAAACTTATGGTTATGATATATCATACTAACTAATTCTCCCATTTACATCTGAGTTTAAATAAGTAAAACCCAGCATTTTATAAATCAACAACATAAGTAACTTAATTATACATGTCCTACTTGTGTTATTCTCCTGCTGTTTCTGCCAAATATATGTGGTGTTATGGAAAAGAATGCAAAGTCACTAAACATCACTTTTCAGAATAAACAACTTCACTTGTCTGTGCAGATACATACTTAACTCAGTATTGCATCAGGTCACTGAGCTGAAAGTACTGTGCTTTAGTGACATAATTCAGTTTTCACTTGGTTTCTGTAATAAGGAAATTTTTTTGATGTATTTATGCCATTTGAATTAATTTTTCATCAGCCCTCTTTTCCACAACAATACAGATACAATGATATAAATCCTAATTTTTATATGCCCTCATTCAGTCTTCTCTTCAACTCTGAAGCTTAGAATTACTTTGTATTGTGATGATGTTTAGCACCGACTATGTGCACATAATGGTATGTAATCTGTGATTCTATAAAAATCCTAACATTATGCATTAGAAGTCTGAATGCATGTATGCTCTCTGAGATCTACTCTACTGCCCCTCTGACACTTCCCTTATTGTTGAACATCACACATAAATTGTATTTTAATAAGAAAATTATAGTAAATAATTTTATAATTATTTTCATTACCTGAGATGTGGTGGAAGTGTAAACTTATTCCTGATGTCTGCAATGCGAATTCCAAACACTGGAGCATCAACAGTCAAAACCAGTGCTCTGAAGTTGGTTTGTTCTGCTCGCTTCACAAGTTTACGTGTCACATCTCTGCACATAGAAAGACAGTGATATTAATAATAGTAAATTTAAGTGAGGATTCTTGAGTTGTTTAACAATACTTAGTCAGATTTGAGGTTTTCATGGTGGTGAGTATGAAGATGGCTATCTTCTGGGTGATGAGTGTCCTGAAATGTTAGTAAACTTCTACCAGACTATACAGCATCACAACCAAGAAGACAGCGATCTTTAACAATAGTTATAATAAATTTTACAACATATCATCTTATATTATATATGTGTAAAATTAAGATTGTATATGTGATGGACAATTAAATTATATGGATATGTATTATAGATCTTGATACAACAGTATGGATATAACAGGAATTAAAATGCTGATGAACTAATGAAATCACAAAAACCCAGGACAGGATTGCCAGGACCTGGCCAGAATACATTACTGGAAAGCATGATTCTAAGTAAATGAGTAGCCTACATACAGATGATTTACCTCCTAAATAAGATGTGCATGTTATACCTGTCATTAACATGGAAAACCCTCAAAAGGATCCACACTGGCCATGGCGTATGCGCAGACATCATTAACAAATGGGGAAAAATTCAAACAGCCAACTGTGACTGTGGTGCGAGTCATCAGACCATAAAAAATATTGTACTTTTCACCTGAGGGCATATCCAGGGGGAACGATCAGATTTCCTCCTAGCCTCTCCACCAGCACTTGAATGGATTGCCAATCTTGACCTAAAATTATAGTACTGTATTCTAGTATATTATATTTGTAATTTCCATCGTATTCTTGTATTTCATGTGTTGTAATATAGCCAAAAGATATGTATGTATGTATGTACCTGTCATTGTAGATGTACAGTTGGAACCACTTGACAGTGTTTGGTGCAGCTGCTCCCACTTCCTCTATACTACTGGTAGACAATGTGCTCAAGATGAAGACTCCTCCCATTGCACCAACAGCTGTTCACAAATATAACAATTAATCAAACAATCCCATCTGAGGGTGATAACCATAAACTGAGGTTGAAGAGAACCTGTCTGTTGGGAAGTCAATTAATTAAATTTGGTCTCATCACCATGAATCAAATATAATCTATCCAATAAGCAGTGGAGAAAAATAATTGAAGATCCAAACATCTGCTGGCAAGGCAATGGCTACAATATTCTTCAGTCTCCAGTAAAACCATCATGTTGTCAGTGTTCTGAAGAAGCCACTCAGGGCATGCAGACAGATGCTAACCACAGCAGGCTGTGAATAATTTTATAGAATGCAGAAGTCTATGACAAAGGAATCCAGTCATTGGTGATGCAATGAGATGCATATCTGAAAACTAACATTATTTTGTGAATGGTCCTTCTCTTGCAGGTTTTCTTGAATTTTCTTGAAACTATCTTATGCTGACCACATTCTTCCAAATTATATCACAAGGCCTCTTCTGAATTTAAAGCTGGCTCTCAGCACATTTTTGTGGAGTTGTATTGTTACGGAAATTATCTTCCCTGATTCATTAACTAACCAGCCAAACGTGGCAGAGGCAGTGGGAGTGGGCAATCATAACCATGATAAGACAACTGTTGGTATAAAAATATGTGAGCAAATATACATGCCCTTAGTAAGATATGATCACACAAGTGTTCATGCCAAATCAGTCATCCTTGTGATTCTTATTCAATAAATAAATTCATTATTAAATAAAACATACTGACAGAAATTCTTAAAATGAGACTTTATTAGTCCTATTTCTTATGGAGGTTTTGGAATGCAATTTATGCTCCACTCACCTCTTGCATTACCACATTCTCCATCAGGATGTGCCATCCGTTGCATGGCTGTTGGAGCTATTCCTATTGGCATCGCCACTTTTGTTCCCAGCACTGTGGTCGACTGGTCTCGACAAGATACATCACGCATAATCCGCGGACGAATCCTCAACCTGCCATTATAAGAGACACTGCCTAAAGTCCTCCATTATATGTCATCTATGATTATCTCATGTAATTCAGTCCTTAACTACGGTTTGTCATTGAGTTGCATCACAAAAATACTATAAATGTTACTTTTTTCAAGAAGGCCAAATGTATTACAAATGTCAGGAGATAATTGCAGAAACAAAGACATACAGTAACATACAAATGTGAAACTTTTGATTAGACTCCTCTTTCCACGTATTTTAGAGGTGCCTGATTCAAATTCTTAACTGCCAATCAGTTGCTCTGAAGTTTTCTAGTCTCTACAACCAAATCAAGATATCAAGTTGTTTCCTTAACATTTTTCATATTGAAAATGGAATAGCTTGCTCATAAACCTACATTTGCCCCATATGCCTTCGTACGTTGCCAATTTCAGTAAAAATATTCTCTCCTATCACCTTTTAATACCTGAAGCTATTTGTGGCTTTTCATAAATGAAACTATAAAACAACATCAAAATATAATTGCCTAGTCTCTTGCATGAAACTTCTCACCATTTACATATTAATGGTTTACATGGCATGAGATATTATTGTCAAAATGCTTTATAAAGAATTATGTTGAAGAAAATCACTGTTCAGCATTATATATTCCACAGATGAATTGGATATGAGTACACTGTCCTGAGTCATTACACTACAAACACCTGCTATTCCAGAGAGCTACTGATATGCCAACCAAATGCAACTGGTGGAAAAAGTTGACAGTAGAAAACCTGAGAATTGACCAGGGATACCATTCACATGATACCTGGTGGGGTATTTAACAAACTACATTTTTGGTTAGTTACAATAGTGAGTTATGAGAGATGTGGCACCTGTGGAATATTTCAGGGTGTTATCTTAAACATTTTCTAGAGGTACAGAAGAAAGTAAAAAAAACCCTTACACAACAGCAGAAGTATGAATTATAAAATACCTAACAAAGCTTTGTTACACAAAACAGCATCTGCAGTGCCTTCAAAAAAAGATGCACATGTTTCCAAGTGTATGCATGTTTCTAGTACCTACAACATGAGAAATCTAACCTCACATGCTTGTTGGGTATTGTCACATACAACATAATAAAGCTTGCCTTCGAAATGCATCTCTGTTGAGGGCTAGTGTGAATTCATCACCAGCACCACTTCGGTAGTAATCCAAGGCATTCTTTGGCAGAATGCTTTCACCATAACGTTCAAAATCTCCAACACAGACCAAATTCTTATCTCGTAACATGCTGTCCTACTTTTAAACTAAACAGGACAAAATCATTTAACATGTAATGCTCTCTGGGACTTTCTTGTGTCTCTGTAAACAAGTGTTATCATGGCAAAACATAAAGAAAGAAACAAGAAAGATACAGACAGAAAATAACCTTTGAACTGAGTTTATCATTCTGTTCAGCAAGTCAAGGTTACTTAAAACCTGCTATTCATAATACTAACACTGATCCTTTGAAGCCACAATTAAACTCATTACTGAAAAAAAGGATTAACAAAACAGGTGTCATCATTTCATTATGTAGAATTTAATATTTCTAAACCCTTTGAAAATAATTCTTTATTTAAAAAAGCCTTTAAACCTTAAACAACTAATTAACTTCTTGGAGCAAAGTAAATGTGTTCTTAAGAGCCTGCCATGGGTACCTGTCTTCAGAGAGATTAATCCAATCCACACCCTCCCAACCAACTTTTTCAAGATCCTTTTAAATATTATCCTCTGAGTTATGCCTAGGACTTTCAAGTGGTCTATTCCATGAAGGATTTCAAACCAAAATTTTCTATACATTTCTCATTTACCCCATGTATGTTACACAACCTGCCAGCCTCATCTTTCTTGCTTTCATCACATTAACAAGTACTAATTATGAAGCTCCTCATTATGCAATTTTCTCCAGCCTCCAATCACTTAATCCCTCTTAGGTCTAAATATTCTTCTCAATACCATTCTCACACCCCCTAAATCTGTGTTCTTTCCTTAATACGAGAGACTAAATTTCTCACTCACGCAAAACAATTCTAGACTTACATATTTTAATTTTTAAATTTTTGGACAGGACTTGGGTAGACAAAAGATACTGAATATAATGATATCAAGTATTTCCAGAATTTAATCTACTCTTAATTTTTTCATGAATGCAGTTTTCATTTGTTACCATCATTCCACGTACCTGAATTCTGCCAAATTTTCCAAGTATTTATAATGTTCCTTCATACTATGTATTTATACTTTTCATTTTTAATTGTTTGATATAGATTTCTCACACTGATTTAGTTCATAGAGTAAAAAATTACTTAAGTTATTCAGTTAACTCTTGTCACCTTTGCCTGGAAGTAGTAAGATTTTGAAATATTTAATTTTAGCAGAAAATTAAGTTGGTGTTGATAATGAAATCTGTCTTTAAATAAAAAATCTACACATATTAAATCTGGGGAATCACTGCAGAACTTTATCTGAATGTATAGCATTCTTTAATTATGTGAACACACTTCTAACCTAAATATTATCATGTTCCTTGCATGAAGAGAATGCATACAGGTAAGGTCATGTTTGTCTGTACTGCATGTTATAGTTCTGAGAAAACAAATTTATATAAAGATGGCTGTCTTGTGGGATGTTGCATGATGTCGTCTGGTAGAAGTTTACCAACATTTAAGATGTGCTTGCTGCCTCTATGATCAGGACAATAAGAATTCTGTTATTGACACTATTAATTATTTCAAAAACAGCACATCATACCAAACACTGGCACAAGGCATAAAATCAGCCTCCAGTTTGTTGACATTATGTTAGATTTTCTCCAGAAAATATCAGACATGTACATTATTTCCAAATTCATTAAATGCAGAGAAAGTAATAATAATAGAGTCACAGAATCATTTTTAAAAACATTTAAATTGAGGATTATAACATTATCAGTATAGCAAAATAAATATTTATAACTTATCTTTGATACATTCAATGTGGAAAAATTTAATTTCAACATTATGCAAACTTACAATACTATATGAACTCAATACTAGTCAAAATGTGTTTCTATTTTAGTTATTGTTAAAGGAGAAAAATGTTGAATCACACCATGAAACCATATGGGGGTATGGAAGTAATCTGCTAGTGCATTGTTTACAATTTTCAGTTGTGAATTATTTTATGTGAATTCATTCATCTATGTATTTCAAGACTTAATAAAGCATGATGTCAATAAATCACAAAAACATAACATACTATACCTGTCCAACATGCTATGATGGGTTTGTTGAAGGCATTTTCAAAGGTATATAACCATGGCAATACAGAGTATTTATGGTACTAGTCAGCTGTCATCAATGCACATCACTTACTGTACATGGAATTACATACCTTTCTCTGATTTCAGCATGGTCACCATTTTTTCATCCAAAGACTCAACTCCACCTCTGCATATAATGGGTCTGATCTGTTCCTGGTAGCCTCCAGATGGATCCAGCAGACCAAAAAGCTCAAGCAAACCTAGAAATTACAGGTTATACAAATGTTTCCATAATCTGATGCTCCATTACCTTCAATTAAAGTTTTCAAAGAACAGGCAAAGAAAGATATATGGATCCATATAGACATCTTTTCATTCATAATGTACATAACAGAATGCCAACATTCTTGAGATGCCAAGCATTAAATTGTTTGATTATAAGGCAATGATCTCACATTCAGATCTAATCAGCAGTCAATAAATTTTCTCTCAGTGATATGTTTCATAAGCAGTTCATTACATTACATGACTCCCATTTACATTAAACACAAATATTCTTACCTTTCCATTATCTTTTTAAATGCTTCATTTTACTCTACAACTGAGCATTACAGTCCATAACAGAAAAACATATGCTTTGCAAATGCCATGCTAAGGCTAAGAGTGGAACTGAGGAAGGTTATGCCTACGTACTTGCTATAAGTAGATTTCTGATACAATGGCCTCCCCTGCCAAACACAGAGACATCTCTGATCCTACCACCAGTTCACAAACAGCAATCACAATCATTCTGACCAGTTGGGTACCTGCTACTGCAAGTAATTTAAAAGCAAACTTATATTACTCTAACACAGGAAATGCCACTGTAAAGCTATGGTAAAGTATGTTAAGTAGTATCTGCCACTCTAACTAATCTATTTTTCAATACTTAAAAGAAAAAAAGAGATCAAAATGGAAAATGTATATAAATTATACTGTCAGACTGAATATTGTAAAACTCCAGTAGGGGGAAAATTGATTTTCCCTAATAACCTACATTTTATTTGAAAATTATTGACTAAAAACAAATTGCAGTAAATATTCTAGTTTATTTCACAACATTCTGCCCTTAGAAGAGTTTAAATGCCCATATATTCCAGTTGCTTGGCTAAACAGAGGGATTTAAATACCTGCCCTTTAAAGGTTAAAGTTTTAAGCAGTAATACTGGAGTTGCATAAAATTAAGAATTCATGTTTAACTGCTTGATTCTATATTTTTCAATCAGACCCATTCCTAATAAATCATACAATGTTCCAGTTCTATTACTCTATGAATCTATATGAGAGAATTCTAAACCTTTAGCCATTTTTAAAATTTCCTAATCTCTCTCCCCAGCCTCTTTGGTTCATTTGCTTGCCAATTTATTTAAATGTACTCTTCATTAAGATGGAAAATTTGCTCTTTAACCTTAAAACCTAGCAACTATATGTCCCACCTGTTTTAAAAATCAAGAAGTGGGTTTAAAGATTCTCAGTGGAAGCAATGATTATTTACTTAGCTTTCACAGCAACTAAGTATAATGAATTATTCTTGAGTTACCAGTGGTAACCTGAGGATGAGGACAAAGATGGTTCTCAAAACATCGGTGTTCTCGCCTTTCAACCACCTGACACAGCTTGTAGCCCAAGAATAATTCATTATACTAAAATAGTGTAAACAAATTGGTCCTTGTAATGGAGAAGTGTTGTGTATCATCTCCAGTATGTACTGAATTATTAAATATTATTTAGACTAGCTTCAGCTTTAAAGGGTTAATAAGGTGATATTTCAGGTTCTCATGATAGTAAGAATGAAGATCACTCATCTGGAATGTTGCACGGTGTAGCATGATAGATTTTTAGGGATGCTTGCTGCCTCCATCACCAGAGCACTCAAGAGGATGCTAACCAATAAGCTGGAAATTCTAAGACATACTATTTATACACATCAGCATCCAATTCAGCAAGCTCCACTTAATATTCTCAAACATTTTACCAATTTATTCTTCATACACATGTAAAACAATAATTCTGGAAGGTCCTGTCCATAAATTTCTACTTTCAAGTACATATCACATTACCTTTATGCTCAACTGCAAATTACACCCCACATAAGTTTGTAAACACACGTTTTTAATAAGCCTATCTTAGATGTGTAAGTACAGTATGATTTAAAAAAAAACATCAGTATGGATGCTTGTCATTGTTGCGGTGTGTATGAACTTATGTGGCAATAAATACAATCAAAAGAAACAAAGATTTTACTGCACTCATATAGCAGTCCTAAATAGGAATAACACATTCATTTATAAAATGTACTCTGTCATGACTTAGCATTCTCTTTATAATGGCAGCCATCTTTGAAAGGAATTGTCACAACAAATCACAAAATAAATTTAAATGGAAATAATTTTATTGGGAGAGATGTTTTACGCAAGTCTTAGGTACTGCTCAGTGAGTGATGAATTGATTTCATGAGTAGCAGGATAACATATTTTAGATTCAAACATTCAATAAAAGTAGTAATAAAAATGGCAACATGTTAAATACATTCAGAAGTTTCTCCTCAACCTGAATTTATTCACTAGATTTCACAAATAATGAATTAAAAAGAACTTCAAAATTTTTCTTGTTATGGAAGAATAATTGGTTAAGTATGCTTTCATAACTGATGCCCTTTATTAACACTGCTCTAATAGATAAACAAAATAAGCTGAAATAAAAGTTAAAAACTGGAGTTGCATCATGCAGCAATGTTATCACATGATTCATGATAGCAACTGAATTTTTATATTTACAAACATCATTTCAAATACAGTCTTTATTTTTTTATAAGCTACAAAACAATTTTTATTATACATGTGATAAGCATGGAGAAATCTTATAGGAAAGTCCAGAAGCCACACTTACATACGCTTGACCCTTTAAATAAATTAATTCATTTTAAACATAAAATGCCCTTATCATCTTGGTTACTGTACTATATACGGTTTCTCAGCAACAGCTACTGGAATTTCCCAAGTTTCCTCTTCATTGGCATTTTACCACAGATTAAATATTTCATACCGTGATGTACGTCAGTAAATACTTCTATCAGTATGACCTTCATCAGTAATGTTAGCAGAAAAACACAAGAAGCATTCAAGTGAGAGAACTCCATTCTTTTTAATTTTTCAAAACCTGCAATAGTTACAAAAACAAATAGTTCCAAAATTTTCTACAGGGTTTTCAGTAAAACTCATGACGCTGTTCACATAAGTCTTTTTCTGTACACTTAAATTCATTTACCCAAGTTTACTCTCTTTAACATAAATTATACTACATTTACAATTTTTTAAATTGTTCATTTGTGAAACTCTGGAAATCCTTACAAAGGACAAGAACCTGCAGTGGTTCTTTGTTCCCCAAAAGAACATATCACACAACACACTTTCCTTTCTGATCACTGAAACCCGCAATTTGGATTTCAAAAAGATATAGAAAGTTAGCTGAATGGGGAAAAATAATACACATCTCTCTACCAGAATTATTATAAACTCTACTTTGGAGTCAATACCCACATGAACAAACTGTGACTTAAAAGGGGGAAGAGAGGACGAGGATGATCAAGCAAGTGAACGAGGGGTATCTGCTTTCTGCATGTACAGACACTACACTACAAGAACTGCTGCTGAGCAAACAAATTTATGTGGTGTGCAGAACAAGGAAAGTGCATACCAACCAAAAATTTAGTTACCTGTATTTTATTACGTTTTGAATTATGATCTACAGATAGCCACTGTACAGTTTGTTTAAGCTCCCACACAGTTGAAAATGACTATGAACATTTATAAAGAACCACAATCAATAGGTAAGTCATGACTTTGTTGTTTGTTTAGTTAATGCAGATTTTATATGATGGCTGAAGCTGAATAGCCTTTGAGAGTATAGTTTTCTCATAAATATATTAAATTTTGAGCCAATGATAATTCAGAACTTTGGAAACTCAATCTTCAGTGTTAAATTTAAATAACAACAAAAGAATGGTGGTGGGAGAGGGAAGGATGCAGATGATGCCCACAATGATATTTAACGTACAAAATAATTTCCCGGTAGTAGACAAACCTAACCCATTTCTTTGCATTCATCTAAATAAGAACTGTAATCACAATTTTATAAATTTAAAATCAGCGTTTGCCTGGCACTGAAAAGTGTAAAGAAATGGCTAGAGGCAGGGAGACAGAAATGGGCGCAGTGTCACTTATAGCACTGCAGTGTTTTTACGCGCAACGCAGAATTCTTCAGAGCATGGCAACATAAGTAATTTATTTATAAAGGACTAAACAGTAAATTACAAAATATTAAATTACCATCTCACAGCTCATCTCTAGTTTACTAATCATTCTTTTAAAAAGACCCGAGTCTGACCTGTAAAAACTATCCATATTTTTAATGGCTTCTAGTGCTTGTACTTCAACTCTCATTATTATAATTTGTGTTTGATTCCCTTGCTAGCATTGTATGAACAGGCCAACAATTGATTATGTTTATATACAGGTTGATCTGTTCAGGGTTATTACTGAATAAAAAAAAGATTTGAGAGTAGATATACAATACCACTGTAATAAATGTGCACACAAAAACTTATGCAGTGGAGAATAATAGTTTACATTACATTTCTATACATCAGAAACTAGTCAACACTCACATCTCTTAAAATAAGTGCGGTAGTGGCAATCTGCGTGTTGCCACTCGATAGTTTCCACTTAAACTTCTCTATACAGCATCAACTACAATACACAAAAGCCAAGATGTGCCAAATACATTCTCTGTCACCAGGACAGATCAATATTTAATCATGCAACAATATGTAGAAAAATTTTATATTTTCGGCAGGATTCCCCTGCACAAGTGCTTGCTCAACACTATCGAATGCCAACACAGGAAGAAACTGATATCAGGATACGCAAACTAACCGGAATGCAACAAAATTATACTTACGTTGTAATTATACACACTATTATTCATTTAAATAAATGTCCTACTGTAACATGTCAGCAACAAATGCGGGCAATCAGGAAGATTGAAGCTCAAACACACAGAGCCCAGAGTAAAAGAGCTTTTTCGAAAACGTTCATTTCCCTGACTTTTACAACTCCCCATTTTGACCTGCATCATATGTATGTAAAAAAGAAAACCTGAATATGATCCACGATAAAATAAAAAGTTGTAATATTAACAACAAAAGCTCTCAAGTTAAGCTTCAAAACTTTTTGTGAGTTATGATTATAATATATCTAAATTTTTATGTATATTCTATTTCAATTCCACAATGTGTCAGAATCAGGTGTCAAGCATTACATATTTTGTAATATTGTAATGTCCGAACTCCACCGCCTCTTCACACTATAATCAGCATTTACAAGGAACTCACTTGAGGTTTGTTAGGACAGCCAAACTACATTAGCATTTTACAAACTTGTACAAATTGTAACTAGCTCCTGTATATCACACCTTTCCTATTGCAGTCCCTTTAAGGCCCCGAGGGCCCAGCACTTAAGGTTCGCACTTGATGCTTAAGATGAACTGGCTTAGCATCCCACTTCACCTGCTTCCCAGAATGTTGAGAAAATGTACCTCTAAAACATGCCTGTTAGTCAACTACTGTGAGAACCACCATAATATGGCATCATGTTATTTTCATAGAAAGTATGTTTCAGGAACTACTGAACCAAGATGACAACAATTTCCAAGATAATGCTGAAAAGTGGTTAAACTATTTCACCTTCAAAAAAATATCCACAACATGAACATGAATTCCAATTTGATTATGCTATTTCCAATATATTTATTTACTAGAAATGTTCAGCTTTCAGAAAATTAAAGCCACATTAAAAATTAAAAGCACACAGGTAACTTGGTTGGAAACAAAATCACATTCTCTCTACAGCCACAGCACTAAGGTGCTGAAACACATCTTTGACTACAATGTTCGCTCCGACATAAAAAATACAGGAAGTAATAAAAATTAAACTTGATATAAAAATTAGTAATAAGCAATACACAAGAACAAGTGCTCAAGTTACCTAGCATGAATTCAAGCTCTCCAAGTATAGCTCACGCCCTCAATCATGCACTTACAACTCCACTTGACCTCGGTCTATTCATAAGGAAGTCTGACACTTCACCTCAGATATAATTCCCATAGCCAGTCTGTATGTATAATTCCACTACAACACCAAGCAAACGGTCAAACCCTTGTTTCTCGCTCTCTCTTAAACTCGTTAATCGCCGACACATTTGCTCAGGAACTTACTCTTACAGCACATACCATACAGACAGCATAGTACATTTACGATGGAAGTTTACATACATCTCGTTGTGTATCTTTGAAAGGTAATCCTCCACTAATCAACTGGTAACTATAGGTCATCTGGTTCAAGTATCATTCCATCAACTTCCAGCAACAAGGCCAATTTCAACACTAGTATGCTCGAGGCAACTAGGAGCCTACATCCAAAAATTCTCTCTGTGAATGACTAGGGTTATTACATAATCGCAAACCACTCAGTAGCGGGAACAAGTTCCTTGCCTTCTAAGATGTTACTTCCTGCAGCATTTAGAGCTTAATCATGTCTTCATCCTGTCAATGTTCCTTCAACGGATTAGTTGGCACTTCGGTTCAACAGTTTTGGATGTACAGCTTGAGAGACTGGTTGAATTTCCCTGGCTACTGATCACATAATTATAATGGAAGTATGGTAATACAGCTGTTACTTTAATACAATGTCAAATTGCTAAGCTGACTGAAAATAATAAATTAAACATTGTCATCACCAAGGTATAGCACACCTGACTTGGTGACTTTTATCTCATGACCACAAGGAATATATTTACTTTGGATGTTAGATTGGATTTCAACAACAGCTGATACTGGGTGATCTTGAAACATTACGCTGACCATGCACAGTCACATGGATTATGTTTACCCCCCCCCTTTCTCCCACATATAGCAGCAAGTTTGATTGGCTACGCATGCCACGTTAATATCACAATAATGAGAGTCTGAGAGCCTCCTCTATTATAACACTCAAGTACATAAGCACCGTGTTGCTGCTCATCGCATCTTCCTTACGGCTGTGCTGATAGTAGCAGTTCCACATCTTGTCACACTTGCAGCACAGTACTGCTTCCCCATTACAGCTGTCTTGCGTTGAAGCCATGTTGTTACTATGCCATGTCTGCCGTCGAGCAGGAGGGGTGGTTGGTCTCCTCACATTGTTGCTGCTGGTCAAGCAAAGTACCACTGTTGCTGTTAGGCAGAGTACCTTCATTACCACTGTCTTGCATGACAATAGTGGTCATAGTTGTTTCTGTATCCTCGCTTGTTCCTGGTTGAGGATGATTACTGTTGCTTCCACTAGGCCCTGTTGATGACTGTTCCTGCACTCCAGTCTTTAAACTGTAAACAATGAATGTTAATTGTAACAAACAGACAAACATGCGACTGAAGGTACTAGCATGAGCGTAACAAAATTGCATATTACTAAGGAAGGAAAGATCAAGTTTAAACCCTAAAACAACTTTTTATGTCTGCATAAAATTATGTTCATCCGCACTGAAACATACCCCTGAACAGCAGACAATCGCTTGGCAAGTATGCGCTGTACAGACGCACGCCTTGTGGCAGAACCAGCTTGGGCCGAGAATTCCGTGAAAGTTAGTGCCACTTTTTGCTGTTGCGGTTGCTGCTCCTCAGGTTGCGGACTCTCGCCATCTTCTGACATTTCCTCTACTTCTGGTTCCTAAGCAAAATGTATCACGTGTAAACATAAAAAAGTCTGAAGTGACATGTCTTAAGACATCTTACTGAAAATACAGAAAGTGGGAAGTGGGACCTCTTAATCAACACTGGGCCTCATTCCTTGCGGTAAAAAAAATACTAGTACACGCTCTCCTAGACACACAAAGATGGGGGAAATTGAACTTAAAAGACCTTTCCAACTGACTACACTGGCACTAATATTAATATTAATAATAAACTTATTGAACGGTTGAATCAGCTGTTGATGCTTGTAAAAGTTTGATGGCAGGTAATACAAATACAAATAGAATAACAGAAATTCAACTGGTGGTCAGGAGATTGAGGGGTGGTGTAAACGTAAATACAACTAAATATATGAACATGACAGGAAGCAAAAATAGGTAATGTCACAATGTGTTGAAACAGAAATGATGATGACGGATGACTGTCTGTTAGGATGCTGTGCTATGTAGTATGGTAGTTTACCGATGTTTCAGAGGTGCTTGCTGCCTCCATCATCAGGGCTATGAGAGATGTAAGGGCCCAGTTTGTGCAAGGTGCCAGTGAAAAATATGTGTGATATGAACAGTAATACCTCTAGAGGCAAAGTTGGTAGAACTGTTAAGCTGTTAAGAGCTACTGCAGAAGCTTGCATTCTAACGAGTGACATAACTGTTGGCTTATTACACACACAGGTATGTATTGTATAAGTCTAGATATAGTAGAAGTAGTGTTACACTTTAAGGTAATAATTGTTGGATGATGATGCAACTTGTGGAGGCTGACACAGATTCAATTAAAGTTCAATACTGCATTTACTTAGTTGGGTTTCTTTGATATTTGCATGAGTCCAATGGCTCAGTGATTAACATTCTTGATTTCTATTTGGGAGGTCCCGGATTCAGATCTCAGCCTGCAGACAACCATCCTGAGGTTTTTTAATGTTTTCTTTAGCCCCTCCAGGAAATTTGGAGCAGTACCTTAAAGTAGGCCACAACCACTTCCTTCCATATGCTTCTAGATTTACTATTCATTAATCATCCTGTCATTCAGTGGTATATGGTAAGAAACCACCAAGAACATCATAGAGCAAACAAAAAAATACATCTATATAACAAGAGAAAGGGCATTCAATCCCCTTTCAGACCACAAAGAACGTGATGAAATAATTTTAAAAACTCACTAAAATAGAAAAAATCACTCGTGTGGTGCAAAGCAGTTGTCCTTCAGTGTGTGACACAGTTGGCTTAACTGCACTCACTCCCACGGTAAACAGTAAAAACAATTTTTTTTTTTTGCATAGATCCTACTAAGGTACCAACTAAATCTTTACTGATGAAAATAACTGTTACTTTTCATTGGCAAAAAACTGAAATTCTACTACAATAAAATATTTTGTATCTCAGAAACATACCTCTTCTGGGCAGAGTTCACACGCTCTCTCCAGCGTCTTTCGAGCACTGTTTGAACGTTCCAGGAAGTAACCATTTGTTGATTCATTTGACTGTGCAGGTGGTGACCAGTTATTATAACTATACTGTGCACTGGGAGCATATGGGCGCTGAAAACACACAATTTAAGAACATTTTCTACTAATAAACCAAGTGATTTCTCTAAACAAACAGTTCTGTACTTTGTACTTAATCAACATCTCTTAATTAGCTGATAAAATAAATTTATGGTCAAAGGTAATTCTAGTGTGTTAAACTGGAATATGCTCTGAGAGAGTGGACCCCTCATCTCAATTTACCACATGCAGTGTATTTATTAGCATCACTGAAATCATGATAAAATGTAAAATAGTGTTTGTTTTGACATGAATTATGAGAGATGGGATCTTAAGAAGCAATTTCATAAATCAAATCTTAACTGTTTATATACTGTCTAAAATCATAACATCCACAAAAAAGAAAAAGTATAGCCAAAATCACCAAAATAAGCAAAGAGAACTGAGACACATACATACACTACTACTAGGCTTATTCAATGATCATGCAAAATTATATAATTGCATGATCCAAGGTCTTTTCGCACCAGGACAAAGAAAAAACTTTCCAGCTTGAGACCACACTCAGCGAACAAGGAAGCATACCCGTTCAAGTTCATCCTGAAGCCACTCAACAGCTACTGTCCATTTTCTCGTTACTTCTCCATTTGTATGGAGCATCTGGTGGGCTGGCCGACACTTTGAAAACAGTGTCACCATACATTTGATGCACTGGTATGCCCTTTTCTGGTAGTGGTTCTTACTGCGTTGAATTGTGTCAAACAGACCTTCTCGTTCTTCTGGCACACCTTGAACAGAAAATGTCGAAGTTTCACGGCAAATGACTTGATAAGCTTCATAAATGTGGTTGGTCAATATGAGGGTGTAACACCATGGAATCTGATGTATAAAGTGAAGCTATCGTGGTGACCAAAGTTGATGAAAGACTCTTGGGCAACAAGCCGCATCAGGTGGCTGAATGGTGAATGAATCATTTCTTTGTCTCGCAGCTACCCTGAGGATGAGAGCAGAGATGGCTCTTGAAACGGAGGAAGAAATGGTTCATTCATCATTCAGCCACCTGATGCGGCTTGTTGCCCAAGAGTCTTTCATCAACCATGGAATCCATCCTGTTACCATCAAGTGCCGTCAGCCACAAAACAACAGTGATGCATGTCACCATTGGTTGCAAACTGCTTAAAAGTCAGATGCTCCTTCTGGGGTATGAAGTGATGGAAAGGTAGAGACTGTATGTCACGTGCTCCAGAACCTCCTACTTACGTCAAGTGCTGTTACCTCACTTGTTGAGACACCCTAATACACTCACTGGTGAAAGAACATCTTGAAAAGAACAAATTGCAATGACACTATTGTAACAGATCTTAGGGGAAAAAAGCTATGAAGATGTAAATTGTATTAAAGTAGATCAGGGTTTTGTATAATTTATCTCTGATCCCAATTTAAGTTTGCCATGGATGATGTCGTGTCTACTATAATAGACATTAGGCTACATGCTCCTTACTGATAAACAGACTGTTGTAAAAATCCTGACCAGGAAGTTAGTTTTCTTATCCACCCAGAAGTTATGCATCCTCACAGCAGGTACTCATATATTGCCCATTAAATAACATACTAACATCTGCTTATGCAAATTCCAAAGCAGAGTTCTTTTGTAAATTTATACTGCAGAACTGTACTACAAGCCACTGATCCCACCAAGGGACATTGTTGGAATTAGTTTGAATTTGGTGAAAATGTTCAATTTTCAGATTTTGAAGTCTAATTAATTTGTCAGTGAAATTAAAATGCTCAAGGGCACTTTTATCAGCTGTTGAACTCCTGTTGCAATTCTTGAAGTGCTGTGCCACTGACAATGTAAGTGAAGAATGTGTACGTGCCCATAAAATGTCTTTAGAGTGTAGCATGTGTCAGCGCAGACTATGAAAATGCAATTATGGACACTTAAAGGCAAGCAGCAAGAAAATTCTCATGAACTAGTCAGACAGTTTTGATGGTCACAGTGTATTAGAACAATTTGTTATGATTATCAATGAGATCATTCCATGACCACATCAAACTCCTCCAGAAGGCTAACCCTGACATGATTTCTAAATTTTGAAGAATGCTAGGAGTGAAGTTAAAGACTATGCTGATCTGGCTGTGGGATATTCATGACCTATTGAGTGCATCAAGGGAAGAAATTCATTGAGTTGCAGCTTATGAAGTAATATACTGTAGAATCAGTTATTTGAAATAAGAATTAGTAATTTCTCATGTCGGTCCTATCACCCTCGGTGGACTAGTGGTTACCGTGCTCGCCACTGGACCCAAGGTTCGTGGGTTCAATCTCGGCCGAGGTTGATGGATTTTTAAGGGTGATAAAAATCTGTAGCACAACTTCCTTCGGAGGGGAAGTAAAGCCGGTGGTCCCATGTCGTAGATTTACGGCATGTAAAAGAACCTTGCGAGCATGATACGAGATGTTTTGTAAGCAAAATTCAGCTTCCATTTCTCACCAAAGTCTCTCCTGATTCACTGCTTCAGTGCTAGATGACTCTGACAGTCAAATCAGGAGTGAGTAGAATTTGTGCAGAGTCAGTGGGCTAGTCACTCACTACTCTTAAATGCACACTTTAAAGACTATGAAACCTCCGAAAGGAGGCCCTATGCTCCACTTAGGAGATATAGGATCTATCTATCTATCTATGTCGGTCCTCTGTGCTGTAATGTAGACCTGATCATACAGGGAATATGTTCCTCTGGAATGTTGGTATCTACCAATAAATCCACATTGCAATACATTAAATAAGACCAATAGTGACATTTTCACTGTTAAAAGAACCTCAAATCTCAAACATTTGTAACTGCTTATAAACTGTAGGATTTGAGGTTTTCACAGCGGTAAGTCTGAAGATGGCTGTCGTCTGGGTTGTTACGCCGTGTAGTCTGGCAGAAGTTTACTGATGTTTCTCGGGTGCTTGCTGCCTCCATCATCAGAAGCAATCACCTCTGAAATGTCAGCAAACTTCTACCAGACTACTCAACACAACAACCTAGAATATCTTCAATATTAAGCACTGTAACGCAGAAAATCATACATATTGTTATTTTGTATTAATATAAAGTATTTATGCTCATTTATGACTAGCAATATTCAGCGCTAGATATGCGCTACTCCAGTTACATGAAGCGTACCTTTCAGTGCATTATGAATACGATGAGACTGCCATGAATCCTCAATAAGCAACATGCTGAGGAGGAGGTCCATGTGGTGTCTCAACTCATGGCAGTAAGCATAGGCAATCTGCCACAGCAATTCACTGAGTACAGTTCGTGAGAAGTGAGGGTTCTCCCAACAGCAGAACTGCAGCAACTTCACAGTTTCTTCTGATAGGTTCGCATCCTCGATAAGCTTCTTGATGTAGCTGTCACAACAAATATTAATGACAATAACAAATGTATTCTCTCTAAGCACAACACCAACCTCATTAATGTTATGGCAGTACATGTAACTTGTTTAGGAAGCACTGGTTCAAATCTCAGTTAAGCTCCTCTAGGTAAATCTTCCTTGATCAACATCTGTGATCATGTTTACATATAAATGGAGATATATGTCGTCTACTTCCATAACCTAAGAATGAACCTAAATTTGATACATGGTACAAATACATCATGCCTATTATTCACACATCATATTTGCAAAATGACATTTCATTCAATGCAAATTAATAATGTAACATTATCTGCAAACATAAAAGTAATCAATCACACGATTGTGTAAGTTATTCTTTATCTACTGATTATGTAAATGGACACTTTACTGACAATGCATCAAGGTTTATATGCAATACAGCTGTCCACACATCACAACTGTACACTGGTAAACTGTTTGACCCAAAAGTTAAAATCTGTCTGAAAGCTAAATAATGCAGTGTAAGTCCCCTATTCCTATACTAAAAATGTTATCATGCATTCCTTGCACAAGCACACAAAAAAATTACATATTTCAATGATATTTGGCATGAATGTCATGCCACTGGGGGACACCCATGGGCCAGATTTTATTTGCCATTTCACATCAAGCCACCCACTGACAAATGTCTGAATTAAATATTTGCAATCAGATTATTAATTTTTTACTAATTTTGTTACCACTATCACTAGATTCTACTTCTGAAAGAGTTCCACCCATACAACATAAAATTCACACAGTACTGTAAGCACTCATCACTATTCTCCATATTAGTTTTTGCAATGTGCTTTCTTCCTAGCAAAGACTGCCATTAGAATATTTTTATCTGAAAGTTCAAAAAGCTCATGTCTAGACTAGCAGAGATTTGTATATTGCAATATCTAATGCACATTTAACATACTTAAAAAAAGACAGAGAAAAAGCAGATTTCTTTTAAATTGTGAAACACTGCCAGCATTGTTTGTACAGAGTTTGCTAAGGAAGGGCTAACATGTTCTAAACAACAACAAAAAACAATTAGTTAAACTGAACACCTTTTTATGGAGACAGGATTTTAGCAATCAATGCCAACATTTTACTTTTAATTATCCAATCTACACACAAACCAATTTTATATACACAGACAAAGTAGCACTTACCTGGTTCGACCAAAAAGAATTTCTGCTGCCTGTGGTTGGATGGGCATGATATAATCAGGGACAGCTGGGTCTCCATATGGGTTTGGTAGAGGTAGCAAGCCCTACAGAAATAAATATTACTTTCAGTTTACAAAATGATATTATTTTATAAACCTCAAAACATAATGATTAGATATCTAATAATTTTGCAAATATGGAGTATACATTTAACTGCAATGTGCCAAACAGCATGCAATGTCAACAGAAATTACAAAAATCCATCAACAGGTAAAACATCGCTACTAATATTAATTTCTATAGAACGTTAGTAACGTCCACATTATTTCAGACACCGTATTACAGGTGTTAATGTGGTTCCCATCTCACAACTTCACATATCCACCACATTACCAATGAATGTATGAAGTTAGTAAGTCAAAGGTTGCAGTGGCCTCCAATAAAAAAATAGTTTTGTGAAAATCAATCAAGTGGTTCAAAAGCTAAGTGAAGGACAGACAGACACACAAACAAACACATCCATGAGATTCCTAAAATAACCAAGAATCTTTTTGAAAAGAAACAACTGGTGAGGACAATTGGGTTTTCCAGTATGGCTCAGAAAAAATAAAGTATCCAGCACAGATGTTGCAAACCCAAATGTTGAAATCAAAGACCAAAACATGATCATCTGCCTTTTTGATACCAAACGCATAAGCCATTACAAATTTCCTCCTCAAAAGCAAATAGTCAACAAAGCAGTCTACATTCTGTTGTTCCTGTTCTTAAATTTTTCAATTTGAGCTTTTGTTTTACTGTCAGTGCAGTTTTATAAATTTTATTACATTTTTCAACCTTTCTGCTTAGGATCTACAAGTGTTAATTAATACTTCCAACAAAGTGATGCACAATACAATACAGTGAAATAAAACCAACCCCCTCTGGAAGAGGAGTGGAAAGATGTTGAAAGCCCAGTATATACATGCCTACATTTATGTAAAACAAAAAAGTTGTACAAGGATAATTCACACACAGATAATTGGAAATTTGCTGTAATATTTAAAAATTGAGTTCTTACCTCAAAGCAAACGTAACACATCTCCACTACAATGATCAACTGAAATAATTGTAGCCTACTCTGAATCATACAAAACCCATAAATACACTGTCAGCAAAATGCAGAGTTATTAACTGTTAAAGCAAGTGGTACATATAGCTTCCATTAGGTCTTAAAGGGTTAAATGTTAGGGATGATAAAAAAATTTCATAGAATTTGACCATTTACTTGTAAGACTGCACATATATTGATAACCCACCTGTTGTGACTGTGACGACTGTGTTTTTGAACTGACATCACAGCAGCGAATCAGTTGCGAAACCACATGATGAAGCTTAGTCAACTCTGGATACTGGTACTTTATAGGAGGCCCTGGACCTTCATCCAAGGCTACCAACATAAATGTAGCTGGTACATTCAGCTGTGAAGACAGAATAATTTCACTTTAAACTATAAAAGATTACTAACTACAAAAGCAGCTGGAGAATTTATCCTGTATCTCATTCCTGTACCTAGCAACACTTTCACTGCTATTTGCTGCATATGCATTTCAGTGTCACATGGTTATGTAAATGTTTCTACAACTCACCTTGAGCAGCTGAGTTCTTTCAGGCACACCGAGCGAGGCATACATGTGGAACAATGAGAAGTAATGGGGCAGATGGCGGCCGTGGTCAGACACTTCTTTTTGCAGAAGCAGTAGAACTGCATGCAACAGGTGGTCACTAAGTGTTGCATGAGGATCCACAAGGACTGCTGAAATGGAAAAATGGGAGCACATCTTTAGGTACGTGCATAAATAATAGGGATTATGCATGATGAACTTACAGGGTTAACAGAGGAAGCAATCATGGCTAGGGTATTTCAAGGTGCTTGAATAAAACCACAAAAATCTCAGTCAAGACAATTAACTAGCCAATATTGAAACAAGATACTTCTTGAATACATGTCATTAGTTGATGAAAGACTCTCTGGCAACAAGCTGCATGAGGTGGCTGAACGATGAATGAACAATTTCTTCTGCCAACATTTCAAGAGACATCTCTGTTCTCATCCTCAGGGTAGCTGCGAAATGAAACTGGTCCTATGTAGTGCGCTCGCCAATGGGAACTGGCGGTGGACAACAGGTAGTAGCATGGTGTTGCTGGTGGCCCGTCCGTTGCTTTGTTCATGCTGACAAACAGGAACTGGCAGACGAGGTCAAGAGCTTGCCATTCAGCCACCTGACACTTGTTGCCCGAGAGTCTTTCATCAACTTCAGTCGCCATGAAAGCTCAACTTTATACACCAAGTCATAAGCTACCAGTTAAGATAACAAGTTTACTCAGTCATTTTGAATTCAGATATATACAGGTTGTTTCTGAAGTATATGAAACCACTTCTGAAGCATATTCTATTCACAAATATAATTAAAAAAATCTGTACAAACATGGGTCACTAGATACTTCATTGTTGAGTCATGGCCCACTTTATTTTGAAAAAAGGCTGAAAAATAAAGTGTACATCTTTCCACAGGAAATTGTCTTTTACAAGCTGCAGATTCCAACATTACAATGCACTGCGCATCTTATTAGGGACTGTCACAATCCTCAAATATTCCATGCACGTTACAAATTAATTCACATATACCTCTCACCCTCTATTTCAGTTCTGCTACACCATTAACTGGCTGGCATGACCCACAATACTTTTCAAATCAGCTATAGCTCAAAAAGAAAGTGCCCAAGTACCCATCTTTACATACACATTTTTGCTGCTTTACTTCAGAAACACCCTGTTTATTATTCTACCATTGCACCAAACATTCAACCTAAACAGCAATAAGGTTTACCAAAAACTTACTGGGAGCATCAAGCATGGGTATTATGCATGGGCCATCCTGCAGTGAGAAGTGTGCTAAGAACACAATGATCTTCATGAATGCTGACCTAACCTCTGTACTTGGACAGCTCAACAGATACTCACAGAACCTGCACAGAAATAATTCACATATGTCAACTGCAAATCACCAAAACTTGCAAAATTCACATTTCCATCATCCTTAACAAAACCCTAAAGGTAGGTCACATTAAGAAAGTACTTACCACAGCTGAAAAGCAATACATGCTTCATTCATGACCGTGAAGAGACAATGACAGCAATCTTTCATGTCAGCAAATTCTAACCTTCAGCCACACTTTTCCCACAGATAACTTATTTCAATAACATATAATAACAGAGTGTTGTTTAAATTTAAACATGAATAAAATGTCTTTACTAGCTTCTTAAATAACATTTTCAGAGCAGGCAGTGTAATAGTATAGGTCCTGGTTAACATTAACATCCATATATGTTAAAGTGTGAATCAGGGTGTGGTAGGCTTCCACCAAGGGAAAGCTCAAACTTTCTCTGGAAAATCAAGAAAACCTGTCACTGAAACACCAGCCATGTACACTGGACAAGGTGGACACTCAAATGAAGCCAGGGCCAAAGAGCACCGCTAGCATATCCATCACCTGCATGGTTAGCCGGGTAGCTCAGTCAGTACAGTGACAGGATTTTCTTCTAGCCTCTGCGTCCAGACCGGCTCTGGGGCCCACCCAGCCAATGGGAACCAGGGTAATTTCTTGGGGATAAAGTGCAACTGGGGTGTGATGTTGAACTCAGCCCCTCATACTGCTGAGGCTTAAGATTGAGCAGGAACTGTACCTAAGTGCCAACATTGGCATGTAATGGTATGGCTTTACTTTTACTTTGTGGGGAGAATGGGGGAGGTAGAGCTCATACACGGTGAAACACAGTAAACCTGATCAATTGCGACCAGCTGCAGGACACCAGTAAGATATCCTGGCCAAAAATCTGTAAGAATGGAGTGGATCATCAGGGAAGTAACAGAGATCAAGCTATCCTAACATTAACAATGAAGACGGCTTCTCACTGAGTAGACCGTGGAAACCTCTGTGGCATGGAGGAATAAAAGCAAACACTTGCCAAGGGCCCTCCTTTGCTTCTGGTCCCTTGTTAAGAGCCTTCAGTAAAAGTTGTCAACAAGACCTTCCTTAAAAACTGCTCTTTTCCAGGGCTGTCACAACTCTCCTTTCATCACCGATCCTATTGGATGACCTCTCCTCTCCTTTTGCCATTCTTCCTTTTATCCACATTCCTTTCCTCTTATGCTTCTTCCTTCCCTTAAAAACCTCCACTTAAACCATTTCAATCTGCAGACACCACAAATAGTTGAATCCTCATTTAATATTCCTCAACTGAAAGACTTCCCTCATTTTGCCTTGAATTTCTACAGTCCCAGCCAAATTATTTCAGAATTAAGTTCTTTCTATTTATGGACTTCAGTTTAGGAGTTCAAATCCATTTTAACTCAGAGAAATAAGAAAAATGTGAGATTCACTGTACTGGCCCACAATAAAAAGGGTGTAGACAACTGGTCCAAATTTAGACAGTCTGGCAAACATGCAATCAAAGAATCTTCCACATCTAGCAAGGAATAGTTGAATACAAAGTAACTGGAAAGTCATGCGACCCATATTAAAACATTTATCGATGGTTGCAATCAATACAATTTGATCTGATTAATAAACACAATATTGCTGTGACTACACAAAAGCCCAAGCAGGACACAAAAGCCCAAGCAGGACACAAAAGCCCAAGCAGGACACATAATGTTGCAACCTGCTTATGACAGTCTGTCAGTTGTCTTTCAAAACACAAAGTTCAAGGATGTCTTTTAACAAGTGTAATGAGTGTTCACTGTCAAACACTACCTGGCATCTCATTCTTACAAAACTTGCCAGAATGAGTTTAGAGACACATTTAATAATTCTCCTGCGTAAAATAAATTGACATCTTGTTTGATGAACCATTTCAGTGACACATGAACTTTTCATTGGGTTGCATCACACAGTAGGAAAAGAGTGAATACATGCATCACTGGATGTAGTGGATATTTCCAACACTTAATATAACAATACATTTTTGTTTACCGATTTCAATGTAATTAATTTTTTTACAAACAGAACATGTGTCAGGAATGGGTTCCATGATTTTTGATCATCATGTAGCATGGTGATAACAACTGAGATTCCACTAATTGTTTCCTAACCTGTGTGGATGCTGAAACAAAACATTATGTGCAAACCACGCCCTGACTGCACGGGAGCTGCGTAAATGATGACACAGAACGTCATACCACTCCGTTGCGGTACCTCGCAGAGTTTTCTTTGTATGAAATCCTGTATGGAACAGAAATCTTGATGCCAGCTGGACACTCAACATTGCCAACTCCTCAAATTCTGGTGTCTGTAAGTAAGTAGAAACCACCTCTATCAACACAGGAAAGATTAAATATATCTGCAGGACTCAAAGATGACTCTTAATATAACTTATAAAAATGTAAAATGCATGGACTCCTTTCCCAAACTATACTGCCATCTAATTCTGAATTTTTTATGAATACTATTATGGCAAACTGCTTAGCACCTTAAAAAGTCACCACTTCCTTTCCAAACCTTGGTGATTCACCAAAAATGACAACTGTATCATTACTTTAGATGCTAAATAACTATATGATGATTCATTCTGATACATAATAAGTGATCAACCAATCCAAGTCTGTGTCAACCGGAAGAAGCGTTTCTTTGCTTAAATAGATCTCTTATTCAAGTAAAATAATAATCTCTTTTGAAGAAAAATCAACAAGGCATTTCCTCAACTGTCTTACAAAATATAACAACTACCACAGCACAAATAATTTCAAATAAAAGATTCTGCTCTGTTTTTGGTGCGTTTACAACCTATAGAGCACCGAATAAAACTTTCCCAACCATCCATTCACATTAAACAACATAATTTTACTGTCTGTATTCACTGCAGCATAAACATTAAAAATTTATAATTACAGTAAGTTGTTTGGATTTGATGCAGTAAGTAAAACTAATTAAATGTAAGTCTGGGTGGGAGCTGCAGGCAAGGGTTTAGCTATAATACAAGGAGATTATGAATAACTTGAAGTATGATGCCAGCTGTACATTAACATCATTTCTGGTTTGGAACTTAAATTCCAAGTGCTAGACTTTAATTGCACACAGTATACATGGCGTGATATTTCACCGGAAGTTTTTTCATGTTTTTGAAACAACGCGGTTTTCGTGATTTTCCAACTACAATCGGAACCCGTTTGTCACTACCGTCACTGTTAACACACAGAAGAACAGTAATTCGGTGTTTTGCACGTATTCCCCCGTGGCAAGATTCACCTTTCAATGCCAGAGTCCTATCCGGGAGGGCGTTGTAGAAAAGTCCGGTCTCATCCGCATTATAAATGTCCCGCGGCTCATATCCCTCCAGCAGTGTTGGCAGTCTCTCGAGCCACAGCTCCGTTATTTCCACATCCACAGCAGCACTTTCGCCTTTCCTTTGTCCTTGTAATAAAAGCATTTGTGAAGAAATTCACACTGCACATGCCATCTGGCATCGCTGGAACGAAATATGAGTGCACCCTAATTAAAATCGTAAAATTTCTGACAATGAGCACCGCCATTCACTCCAATATCACCCCTGCACCGCTGACCCTCATTCCAAAAGAATGTGCTGGTTGGGCGACATAACAGGTTACCGCTACTGTTTATTCCAAAAACATTGTGCGTCTTTCGGTATTAATTTATCTCAAAACCCAGCATTTTAATTTCTCAGAAACGATCATTGCGGGAAAATTGTGTGCTGGGACTAAGATTTTTTAAGGATCGATGCGATAAAACGATAGTTCGAGGAACGATAGAAGCGGGAAAATGTAACATTATTTTATATGGGATGTATTCGGGACCGAACAAAACGGACGATGCATCCGGGAAAACGATAGTTCCGGGAACGATGGATAGAGGTTTCACTGTAGAAGCAAACTATGTGTGCATGTAAATAATTTTGGCTTCATATCAACCTGAATGCATATTATTACATCTGAAGTTCAAAACAACACAAATAAACAATTAAACTTACCAATTTTTCGTTGCTATGTTGTCGATTTACAGGAGGACTGTTGCAGGACACCAGCTTTCGGATAAACTGGAAATATTCTGCTGAGAATTGATTTCTGTTGTGCATGAATTTAATGTTTTGTTTCCGAACACTTCGTTCTATTGCAGGTGGCATTTTCAAGATGCCCAATTTTGTATCAGCTACAGAAAAAAACAAAATAACAATGTAGGCAATTATACAAGTCAGTCTGTTACAGAGCATGCTCTATGAAATTGAAGTCTAGATAAATACTTACTCACTCCCAACACATGCATTCTCATAAAAATATCACAGAGGAAGTCTACTTCCTGTATGCTACAGACACTCAATCATGACAGCACCAAATGCATTGAGATAAACATTCCATCTTCAATGACAAGTTATGAGAAATTTAAATCACATTCAACATTTTATTTGTAATGTTAACATTTTCTGTAACACCAACTGAAGTTCTGAAACTTTAAAGCTGGCCACACTTACACAATGACAGCTCATTCAGACTCTTCATTAACGCATTTTCCTCAACATCCAATCGTGTATAAAATAACATATACGCGTTCCACCACCGCTTCTGACGCCGATAGCTCATTCTCTTTAACATGTGGTCAAACACCTGAAAATTTAGATGTACTGTAGGACGTGTTTCAAACTCAAGTAAATACGTTTGTTATAAAATTGACGCTTGTAAAGATAAAAGAGGTGTCCAGCTCACCTCACCCATGTAGTCTCCGCCAAAACACTGTGTTTTCATTTCTTCTTCGTCATCCATCTTACACTCACTCACTTCACCATCATCAAACTTATACCATTTTGAACTTCCATCGTTATGCCTAAGACACAGTACACAACAACAAAAAACTGTATTTCAAGGAAAAATAATTATTAAGAAAGAAACAATTTAGGATTTCCTTTTCCAATTACTTTTGCAAAGGAAGTCCCACTCTGTCAGATACACAGGAATCCTTGTTTAATGTTTCTTGATTTAAAGTTTTCTCCAGTTCCACCTTCTCACTATTAAATACATGTTATCTAGGTTTTCTTCACTACAGGGCCATTCTATACTAAATAAAAACAAAATTTAATGAAATGTCAACCACACTATCATCAATATTAATATTTTTTTTATTTTACAAGTAGATATCCATGAACTATATGTTTTCCCAGAGTTTAATTTTTTATTGTGACTAAATCCTTAGATATTATAATTGAAAAAATTGAGCAGTTTTTTGATGTGGCGCCCAGTTTTTTTACAAATATGTAAATATCTCCAGTATTTAAAAAGTAAGAAATACAGAATTTGGTGTCCATCTGCAGTTTGTCTCAAGAAAGCTATGCATATATCTGCATTAATTTTGGAATTACAACCTTTGAACAAGTTTTACTTAAAAGATTTAAAACAATAATGTAGGACTGCATTTAGAAAGCTGAAACATTTACCCAGCACAAAAAAAGGTTCAATCTATTATGAAAAAATAATTAAAGCAGACTTTTGCTCCGCTGTCAAGAAATTAAAATCTGAAATTATGCACCAGCATCATACTCATACTTCTTTCGGAGTCTTTTCAAAATTCGCAGGTATGAAAAGATGTGACAACACTGCCAGACATCACACATCAGCAAGAATATAGAACTGTTTTTATCTGCAATTAGTCTTACATTTTGAGACAGCAACTATTTTTGTTCCTACAACATAATATACTGCATAAAATAAACTGTCAGTTACAGCTTCCTTGTATCCATTTTAGATCATAATTAAGGTAGTAGATAAGCTAACCAACAGCTACTAAATTAATTTTCATTTATATCTGGAGAAAGCTCGTCACACTCAAGTCATGCAGCCAGACCTTTCAAGATAGCAAAACCTGTCCAAAATACAAGCCTTCTTCATTCAGCTGAAGCCCCATGCTAGAAGAGCAGTCACTACTAGTTAATATGTCAATATATAAAGTTAACTATTTTCTACAGAGGTTTTTACCTGTGCATAATGTATGAATAGTAATGGCCTCCGCTGGCCTGTCCGCTATGTACAACAATTCCTGTTAGCTGATATTTTGTACAAATGTCTTTTGATATCTCATCATAATCACAGTCTATCATTTCACCTTCAAGTTTTGCCAAGCCTGAAACTGTACAGAATGTTATTTTGAATTATAACACGTACTTTCAAAGAAGAAATATAACAAAGTATGAAAGAGTAAGAGAGTAGAGAAAGTAACACGAACAAATTTTGAAACAATATGTTTATCAATTACTTCACTCAGTGTTATTGAGCTAGATTCTGTCCCCATTTAATACAGTACCCACGTGTTGCTTCTAAAATTGTCAAAGGTAAAACCATGATAAATTTGTCAGCATAGGCAGTAACTCAGCCAAAATTCAAAACAGAATAGCTCTTCAATACAAATTCAGATAATTAATACAATACCAACTTTCTAGGTTTACAGCATTCAGAACATGAATGTTTAGGAAGAACTTCCTCATACCTGTATAAGGATCCATGTCTAGGTCTCGTGGAAACTCAAAGTAATCATTGAACTTGATGGCACAAACTCTCTCAAAGTCATACTCAAAGCGTTTTAACTGGATCGCAAGGATAGGTGGCAGCTTCTTCACACACAGTCGTTTCACAGTTACAACCTAAATTAAAACACGATTTATTCACTTTAATGCAAGAAATTGTTTCTATCTCACTACTAGGAACGACATAAGCTTTGATGACCAAAGTTTGAAGAAAAATACAAACCAACAGCATCTGACTATAGAATTCTGAAAGTCTTAAATTAACAGGCATTACAAGCTGTGATATGAATTATTTGAATTTCTCTACAATTCCATACTTTATACCTCACCTGATAACAGTATATTTGTTTTATTTGTATAGATATGGTATTAAAAACAATGAATATGTAACTTCATCATAGCGAGTGGTTTACAGCCTTTTGGCCATTTCTCACATCCTAGTCACCAATGAATATGTAACACATGAAGTATTTAATATACCATGCCAAACTCAGTTTACAGGCATTTAACGTGACTAGATATATATGAATCTTTTATGCATATATGAAACTTCACTCTTCCCTGAAATTCAAAGCTAATACATACAAAATCACAGTGATGGATATCCTCCCTTCAAATAAATTAAATTAGATTTACAATGTTGTAAGAAATGTTAACACAGTCCCTTAACTTTCACATTACCACTGGGGTCCATTCTGTGCCCGTTTCTTTCCTGGGCTTTGTTTTTTTCACATACCTCAATACCTTATGGAGGAATTATTTTTCATACATTTACTGGCCTTTACTGATATATTTTTTTTAAAATGATAATAAACTGGCTCCAATTCGGAAAGTTTTTGAAATGTTTGTAGCTAGCCTCAGACTTTCATATATACACAAAGAATATATTACAGCTGATGGACTCATACCATTTCATGGCCAATGGTCATTTAGGTAATAAATATAAAGGAAACCAGCAAAATATAGAATCAAAATTTCTGCCTCTGCTGACACCAACACTTGCTTAACTCAAAACACACCAGGAAGATAGTAAACCCCAACAAAAAGACAAGGTAAAAAAAATGTAGTCCAAGATTTTGTGTCTCCTCTATTTAGGACTAGAATAGGAGTGACAACAGACAAATTGTTCACAAGCTGCCAACTAGCAGAGTATCTCCTCACTCAGAATCTCAAACTTACTGGAACTTGAAGCAAGAATAGGCCAGACATCCCAAAGATGTTCATTGGGTGGAAATGTTAGAGGAGTATTCTATCACTTTTGGGTTTAATGGCAACTTGACCTTAACATGGCATATGCCAAAGAAAAACTCCACGATTATTGCATGACCTGAAGCTTTCATGGTGACTACATATAATAAATTCTTCTCAGGCCACCAGCCGTGTAAGGTGGCTGAAGGAAGAAGAAACCTTCTGTTATTATACCATGGTTATTCTTCTTTAATCTCAACGCCATAACAAATCATGCATGGATGAAAGCCAGGCCTTCCAATCAGACACTATTTCACACTACAGGACAACACAGTGTGGTATAGATGTTAACAAACAGCACAATAATATGTAAAAGGAACATGTCAGTGTCCTGTCAGAATGTTCTGAAATATGCTTGACGTAAGATGCATAAATGGATTTGGACTATGGCTTCTGAAGAATCCAGATTTAAAAAAAGGAGCAGCAACATTGTCGACATCATTCCTTGCTCAAAATAGATCATCAAATGATAAAGAGCTTCAAATTGTTCTCTGAAGGAGCCTGTTCATGTAACAACAAAATCTCTGTGGGTCAATCTGGAACCACAGAAGGTTACAGCTACCACACCACCAACTCAAGGAGGAACAAAAACAGGACAATAGCATGCATATCAGAATAGCTGACAAAAGAAATGAACTCAAATGTGGATCATGTCACTAATGGGTATTCAAAAAGCAAACCTCAAAGATCAATCTGATTCTGCATTTCAGGTGGGTGAAGACTAAAACTGCTACTGTAATGTATCTGATAATGGTTTCCATTCAAAAGTAAAAGGTTACACGCCGCATGCATTTTTTTAGTATGTATGGTGGGACACAAAAGGGACCGCAAATGGCAAGGTGTTACTTCATTTGTATGGTAACATGCGGGTTAACATTACACAACAGGATGCTTAACATTAAGACTGTTAGATTTTTTAATACAAAATAGCATTATTCAGTGCATTTACTTGAGGAAATTAAATTGAAATAATCCACAGTGTTTAGATCATACCATTCACTTGTACATTGTGTGTTAAATGCAGTAACCAGTGCTTAAACCTTTCCAAAACATGAACTGCTCTGACTCTGGTCTCTTTACATAATGATTGACATGAGGCTTTATATAAAATCAACAGCAGGAAAATAAAAACACACTCATTACAAAGAATTTATACAATTAATTTCTTTGTTTGAGCATTTTTAATTGGTTTACATTCTGTAAATTTAGTGGGGCACAAGTTTAGTATATCTAAGGTGACCACTGCACTTACTCCCATTGTTTAATACTTGTTCTTTGATATGCTACTGCAGGTAAAACAATTTGTCATGCTAGAAAATAAGTCACTAAGCAGCACATACCTTCTTGTTGCATTTTTCACAGTGATATGCATCAGCTCCCTCTAATAGTTCACCCTTTACATACTGTTCCAGTGAGTCTAGTAAAGTACTGTGATTCCGAATATCAACACTAATTACGCTGAATGGTTCCTCCTTTGAATACCTAAAAATATAAATGTTCATATATGATCAGGAAAGATATATGGATACTGGATACTGGGAACGACCCGTTCTTCAAGTGTCTGAGCACTGCGGGTTCCAATTTTTCGTTGGCTCGATCTATAGACATTTGGTAGGACTCCTTGGACGAGGAATCGGCCTGTCGCAAGGCCTCACCTGTACACAGGACAGCACAACACAGAAAAATGTGGACAAACATCCATGGCTTGAGTGGAATTCGAACCCACGGTCCCAGCGACCAAGTGGCACAAGACCCACGCCTCAGACCGCGCGGCCACTGCGGACCCCAAGATATATGGAAACTATAATTCATTTTTGCTTGATATGTGTTTATAACCCTGACACATTACTGCCCCCAGATTTAAAATTTGGGAATTGAACATTTGATTCACTCTCACAGATAGAGTAAAAAGATAGGGCAGGTGAGCAAGACCTTCAACTGTAATATTGTAATGTAAATACCGAGTTACATCAAAAGGTCTTCTGTGAAATGTACATTATTCTTGTCTGACTTCAATCAAAATTACGATGTGCTGAGAAATTTAGTAAAATGCCTAAAATATAAAATTTAATTAAAATCTATTCAGCTGTTCTCAAGTTGTGAAATGTAGATGGACTGACATGGTGGAGATAGTAGGCACATTTTTCAGTTTTGCTCGAGTTGCATACGATGGAAAAGAAGTGGGACTGTGAATTGCAGAATAAAGAAGGTCAAATACTTCCTTCTGGTTGTTACATGGTTTAAATCCTGTACCTGAATCTTAATACAACACTATTCCATTTAAAATTACAAAAGAGTGCACAGGGATCTTACAGATTTCCATGACATTGGAAAGGGCAAGAATCTTCTCCCTACTTGAGCTCATGCATTTCAAATAAAAAGAGCAATTATATGAAAATGAACAAGTGTTTAAACTGAACAAAAATACTACCTCAGCTCATGCACACACAATACAAAATAATACCTGTGTGGGCAGCCTTTGCATATTTTTTGGTCTGAATATGAGCCACCAAGAATTTTGCCCATGATCTGCTCCTGACTTAGGGCTTTCAAGGCCTCGTCAATACTCTCAACAAGACTCATGAAGAACTCAACAGCATCTTGCTGCTCACGAAGGTTCACTGGCTCTCCCTGTAGCCTGTCAAAGCAGAGAAAACCATTTCACATTATATTCTCCACAGTTCCTTCATAAATTACATTTAAAATAAAGAATCTGTTAACTCACTTGAAATGCTTCCAGAGTCCTCGTGGGACATAATACTGTAGTTTGCTGTATGCCAGATGACCAAAAATGGCTTGCACTTGCTTCAAGATACCAATGTTATATTCTTTCCGTGATTCCTCTAGACCACATTTCTCATCATTGCAGTCATTTTCATTCGATTCCAAATTTCCCTGTAGTAATCAAAATCATATGCCTCAAACAACTGTGTAAGTAGAAACAATTAGGAAATTGGCAAAAGAATCCCGACACAATCCTCAACCAGTACCATCCGGCATTATCAAAACTTATTTCCTTAAGATATCCTTTTATCTCCTTAATTTTCAAGTGGCAACTTTCCAATATGTTTCCAAACCAATATTCTGCACCCATTTCTTGCTGATACCATACAAAACTGCTTGTTCAGCACACCATAAACTCCTTAAATACATGCATACATCTTTATTACATTCCATAAATCCATAAGTTAGCCAGATGACAATAGGATGTGGAATAAGTCAAAATAATATAATACATATTACAACAATGCATAACCCATAAAAATTATGAAGCTCATTATGTAATAATTCCCACTAATTTCATCCTCAGCATTTCTTCTGTTTATTCTCAACATTCATTATGAATCTCATTTCTGCCCAGTTACTCTCTTACACACACAGATTTTGGAAATATCTCTATATCATTATTACCTGTCACTAGCAGTGTTTGCAGTGTGTAGAAAAATTTACATTTTCTATGAATATTTCACAGGCCTTCAATATATACTGTTGAATATCATAGGGGAAAAAAATTATTAACCCTAAACCCAAAAACATTTGCCCTTAGTTCCAGCCAAGTGGATGATCTCTGAAAAGTGCTATCAAGCAGCAAAACAGTTTAAATATGGCTGACCAATTTCAAGCAGTGTATCAGCTGCAATAATTCAACACTGACATTGGTTTTGTCATTTTGTGCATGAAGGGCTTCAAGTTCCAGACAATTTCTTTCTTTCCAATGAAGCTAAGTTCCACCCGAGTGGTTGGTTATATAAACAATCAAAACAGTAGACTGTGGATTGCTGAAAACCCAATGTAGTGCATAAAACTCCTCACAATTCATTGAAGATTGCCGTGTGGTGCACAAAGTTTCAAAAGATAATTATCAGACCATTGGTTTTCAAGCAGATTAATTTTTCTGCTGGAAGAAAATTAAAGGGGTTTCTGGTTTCAATGTCATGAGGTAATGGTCCATGCTGTGAACACAATGTTTCACTGCAAGACCTCCCTGGTAAGTGCACTGCTGGGTGTGGTCTTTGGCCACCACCATCTCCAACCTTTACCCCATCAGGCATCTTTCTGTGGGATTCTCAAAGAAAGAGCATTCAAATAACCCACAAAGCTGGGTGAAACTGAAATACAATACTGAACACTGTTATGAACACTGACCCAGAAAAAAGCTGCACAAAACACCACAATTACTGTTCTGTACGAATGGAAAAAAAGCATACAGCATGGAATAATTTTATTCTCACCACCAACTAACCAACAAATAAGAACAAACATTTTCAGTACTGATTATTTGCCTAGCATCACTGCAAATTATTGGCTACTATTGCGTACACTCACCTCAGCCTCCATTCTCTCCTCACCGCTGAAATCCTCATTCAGATCTGTAGCAGCACCTTCAGAAGCTAGGATTCCAATACGAATGCTCTCGACCATATACAACTGCTGTAACACTGAGTTCATATAGCAAGTGGCACCGGCATTTTTCAGGCCAACAAAACCTTTTAGTGGTCGTGGACCCACAGGCGGAAGATAGTCCCACTCTACTAAGGGTTCATCACGCTCTGTAATTAATCACAACACTTCTATAGGGTCTTGAGGTCCTAACTTTCAAATGGCATAACCCAAAAAGTCTAAACCACTGGACACGACTCTTAAGTCATCTAAATTCAGTACAAACCATGATATCTTTATTTCTTTATCATCCACGTGCTACATGCCCGCCCATCTCATCCTCCTTCATTTGATCAGCCTGGTAATACTGGGTGAAGATTACAAACTACAGAACTTACAGAAATTTGTGTGCAATGTAAAGCATTATGAAACAAATTTAGCCATCAGTTTCAATTGCCAAATTGTCCTAGAATCACTACCAGTAGTGAATCTTGGTCTGTAAGTCAGGTCATACAGAAATGCAATATTATTAAATCTTATCTATAACTGCACCAAAATACTATGATATTTTCTGATGATAATAGTAATGCTGCTGTTACATTATATAGTAAAACATTTCTTTTATATTCCACCAATTTTAATGGTCTGGTGGCAAACTAATAGACAGACCCGAGCATTAGCCAGTGATCACTACATTCATCATTACAAGCCACAGGTTACATACATTACTCTGTGAATGAAACATTTCTCTTCCTCTTACAAGAAGTATAATGCTATAAGAAATCTTAAAAGCTTTCTGAAAACTTTGCATTACACTGTTTCAAAGACTATGGTAAACCCAGAGTGATAGATCCACAGTTACTGCAAAGTTAGCCTGGCCATTTAAACACAATTATGTCCGTAAACCTTTGCTCTGACCCATTCTGATCTAGTGCAATTTGCTGTCAGTTCCTACAAACACAATTTACAGTAATGCAGTACTTATAAGATGTTTTATCTAGAAATTCAAGTCACTTAGCCTTCTTGTTATTTTGGCTCTCCTTAAACATGTTCTCTTCATAATTACCCTTTCTTTATACAGTTCGTAAGAGATTTTTATAATAAGTATCAATAAATGAAAAATTACATGTGCATTTCTGCAAACAAACCTGAATAAAACATGTCAGAAAGCATATGCACAAGGAGCTTCATGTTAGGAACACAACTGACGCAAAGCCCCACCAGGAAATCAAATGCAGCACTGGTTGTCAGAGGAGTGTTGCAGACTGGTATTGCTTGGTCCTCACACAGCTCACCCGTACGCTGTAGGTGAAGCATCACTCGCGATGCAGGGAAAATAAAATCTTCTACCAGCTCCTACAATACAGAACAGTCTTATCACATTCTAGGGTTAAGATGTGCACTAGCCACTGTATTTCCATACGTGCAATTTATTTAAACAAAGAAGACTACTCACTGGATCCCAAACAAATAAAGTTATATTCCACAGAGTTCAAAAAACTATACCCAAATGAGTAAAGTGAGCCTAATGATCTAATATGTAAACCAATCTCAATCATTTACAAAACGAAGTGATGCAAAATCCAAAGGGGAGCTCTCCATTTGCATGCAAATTGAGAACTTTTGCATGGCAATTGTTTGGAACCTGAACTAAACACCACGAGTCTTGCAAATCCATAGTTGATAGGTAGTTGGGTAACAAAACCAAAAAGAACATAATAATCTAAAACCCATGCAACCCCTTCCTGACACATGTCCTATTTGTAAAAAAACAAACAAATTACACTGAAATGGGAAAGAAAAAAACCCCAGAAATCCAGTGGCAGTAGGCAGCAAGTTTTGATAAACTAGAGCAGAGCGCTCCTTTCGGAGCTCCTCAGGTGGGTTGGTCAAGTTTGTAATACGCAACCAACCTTGTGTAAGAAACTAAACTAACCCCCCGAATGGAGGGTTAAAACACTTGACCAATCACCCCTTTGGGGAGGGGGCAGTAAATGTGGAAAACCACGCGATAAATTTAATCCATCTACGTTAAACACTCGTTGAAAGCGTGTCATTTCAAATTTCGTTATGTTTCGATTCACTTTTACAAATAGAATATTTTTATTATAATAGAGCAGGGCGCTCCTTTCGGAGCGCCTCGGGGGGGCTTGGTCAAGTTTGTAAAACGCAACCAACCTTGTGTTAGAAACTAAACTAACCCCCCCCCCCGAATGGAGGGTTAAAACAATAGACCATCCCCCCCTTCTGGGGGGTTGGTTGCGTTTTAAAATGTTGTAGAGCAGTGATAATGCGACTGGATTGGTACTAAGCATTATTTGTTTACTCGGCATAAGGTGACATTGTTGATGATGTCATTTTTTGATGATGACAACGACTAATCACAAATTTTTATAGTAGATAATGCAACTCATTCAACATGTGCATTGTTGAATTTGCTGTATGCTGCTCAAAACAGCAGTCTTTATCAACTTCAAAAAATCAATTCCTTGTAATGTTCAGCTGCTATCGTTTCAATAAAGAAAATGGGACCAACTGTCCTCCGTCAAGAGACGGCACACCACATTCCAGCTTTTGAAGAGTGTAATAAATGATCCTACATGAAAGGTATGCAGATTTACAGAACTCCATATTCTGCTGTTTTGGCTAATAACATATCAACTTTGATGGATCCACTCCCTTGAATAAAGTGTAAACCATTTGCAATAGTGACAATTTTTCCTATTTAGATTCCCTGAATTCATGCATGGAATACACAAGATGTAAATAAAGTTTTAAAATCTTTGAGGTCTTATGTACACTTTTATAGGATAACCCACTCTAAAGATAAACTTCTTTCAGTGACTTTAATGGAGGGCACAACAAAGTTTGAAGGATATGGTCCAAACTATTGTCACTTAACACTGAAGGTCAACCAAAACAGTTTCTGTCCTGCATGCTTCCTGTGTCACAGAATCTCATTCTGGCAAGTTAAATAAGAACGTGATGACATAGAGTGTTTGACAATGAACACTTGTTGCACTTACGAAAAACAGATCCCTGCACTTTGACCGACTGAAGACAACTGACAAACTGGCGCAACTCTTGCAGAGTGACAGCAATACTGTGCTTATTAATCTAATCAAATTGTAATCATTAATAAATATTTGAATGTGAGCTACATAAAATCTGAAATATATATGGAGATTTCATCTTTATTTCACCATAATAATAATAAAAAAGAGGATGGCGTATGATTTATGTGAAGGCATGAACTGAGTGAGAAGGTACAATATATCTAAAAAGTAAAGAAGCCACTAGTCTGGTTCTGAGGCCATGCTCTAAAGCAAGCATGTCAACTCGCGGCCCACAACGAATATTTTTGCGGCCCAGCCAATATAATGGTATGTAAGAAACGTTTTAATAAAAATTTTGTAACTTAATTTGAAGGCAAAATTCAGTGAAGTTGGCGTGCCTGGATTTTACAAATATTTACCTGCCAGGTTTGAAAATACTCGAAAATTCGCATATGAAATTATTTCCATGTTTGGAAGTACTTATCGGTGTGAGCAGTTATTTACAATTATGAAAGGAAATAAGTCTCCTGTCAGATCCAGAATTACTGACATTCACCTTGGGTCAGTTTTGAAAGTAATCACTGCGAACAAGATTTCCCCCGAAGTAGGAAAGATAGTAGCAGAGAAGAGATGCCAAGTGTCAGGAAGAAAACATTAATTTTATCGTTGTTCTTGTTCTTTTTTATACTATACTTTTCAAAATAAACCTACGTTTCTATGAAAATTGAAGTTTTTGTTTTTTTGCGGCCCACATAAACTTAAACCTTGTTTATTTGGCCCGTGTTAGCCTTTGAGTTTGACATGCTTGCTCTAAAGCACAGATAGTACAATGTTTTGATATGTAGATAACATTGATTGGGAAACATTCTAACATGAGAAAAAGAGATTTCTATGTTATATAATTAAGAAAATAACAGAAATAAATGTAAAAATGAGTTGCAGTGTACCTTAATAAGATTGATTCCTTTTCTTTCCTCAGACCCAAGCTCATACTTCTTCTCAGGGCTCATGAAAGACAACAGCTCCTTCGCAATACCCAAGTGGCCTTCCAAAACAGCCTCGTCTACTTGACTGTCCCCCGTCTCCTTCACGTTTTCCTGCAACACATTTTGTTGTCAATGGGAAGAAGCAAGTTACTTTAAAAAAAGTGGAGCAGTGTTACAAACAACAAATTACCACAATTCCAACTGAAGAAAATTGTTCCAAATTTTGTCAAAGAAACATATAATTTATAATAAGCACGAACAATGGGTGTTTTGTGTCAACTTTATGTCAAGATCTAGTCACAGAAGAGATTTAAAATGTGCCTGTTTAAGACTCCACAGTTAGTGGGGGTGGGGGAGATGTTAAAATTTAACTGGTTTACAATGTTCGGGCCACTGACGGACAGATTATATTTTTCAATTTAACTACTTCTGTCATATTTAACTCTCACAGTGAGTAGACAAACGATAAAAAATATGTAAGGTGCCAGCATCCACCAGAACAAACCTTTGTGTCTGCCATTTTGTATTGCTAGATGGAAACTACACCAATGGTTACAGGAAATATGAATGTTTGATTTAGAACAATTATAATTCAAGACATTCAGTTCCAATCAAATCTGGCTGGCACTTGAAGGTCAAAAGTGAAAGCTTGCCTGGAACAAGTCAAGAAGTCACTCTCAAGGGAGTTCTTGTTCATTTCACTGTAAACAAAATTCTGCCCTGTCATAAGAATACAAAGCCTTCCAGTTGCAGCAGACTTGCTTCCTGACAAAAACTTCATGACTTTCTGAACACTGACTCAAATCTAAGATGATCCTGCATTTCTGAAATATGAAAAAAATATGAAGAAAAAAATCTTGTCTGCTTTTCAGATAAATAAGGTACTAATAAATAGCAGAATTCAAATCACAGGTGATGTAAGCAAGACATGAATTCCTTTACCTAGTCAAGCAAACAGAGAGGGTCTAGTAAGGTCACTGAAAATGTTACTCAAGAATTCTGCCTCAGCAATTGTAACGTTCAATACTGTCCACCCTAGCACGGCTGCATCTTCACACAAACTACCTACTATCAAAATATGTGCTTTCTCCACTTACTCTTATCTTCTTTAGCCACGTAATCTCATTGTTGAGCAGAGTTTCGGCAGTAGGAAGGGGACAGTTAGACATAAAGGCATAGTTGAGCAGACGACACAGCAACTGGAAGTATTCATGAGAGTTGCGAGCATTCTCCATTACAGTTGTGTTCAGTACTGTGAACAAAAGTGTGATGCAGAACTGAAGTGGCTGTTGGCTCGCTACACACCATGTTGATATCAACAGGAACTGCTCCGCTGCGGCAACACGTACTGACCTGCAAAAATTACATCATTCACACACTGACCAATATCTTCTATGCTGCTTTAAGAAAAGGGATTGTAAAACAGACGGGGGGTGGGGTGTGTCATGTATGTTCAGCAAATAATTAATCAGTAAAAGTAAAGCTGTCCTGCTTCTGCCATGTAGGTGCTTAGGGGAGGGAGAGAGGTACAACTCCTACCTATTCTTAACCTTGGCACTTGATGGGGCGAGTGGTCAGCATCATGCCCCAACTGTGCTTTACTCCCAGGAAAGGGCCCCGGTACCCAATGAGGAGGCGGCTTGGTAAGACCCAGAGCCAGTCTGGATGCAAAGGTTTATTAAGTCTTATGTTATATACAGCGTAATTCATTAATCGTGTGTTCTCTACCCAATTTATCACAAAAATGTAAATTATACAGCAAAATAACAAATGAGTTAAAACACCCATGCACACATATACACACAGATGCATGCACGCACACACCCTCTCTTCACAGTTTGTCTCTGTCATTCCCATACAGATGACAATTCCTGTATATAACATGATCTCTTGGTGACTATCTGTACTAAGGGCAAGAACCTGAAATCTTACCTTGCACGTGTAACTGTTCTGTATTGGCAAATACAAGTTTAGAATCCCTAATATAAATTTTGGTCATAGTGAAAAAACATCAAATCCCAGTGTACACACATGACCATGAGCATTCTTCATTCACGCAGCATTACGTATTGCGACTGCTTATAACGTAGTCATACCTATTCTTGCAGAGTAAGAGCAAGTCAATGATGAACATATGCCACATCTTGTCCTTTGTCAAGCTCTCTAGGGTTTTAGGATTTAGCACCAGAGCCACCGTTAGCACTTCCAATGCTTCTTTACAGACTGCAACCAAAAGATAAATAATGCTGTTTACAAGCAAATTCATCAACACAATTCCATTATTCACAACTAAAAGCACCGCAAGATATAATGACTAGCACAGCTGGTATTAGTGATTGTAGGAAATTAAGATCACAAGTTTGGGGCAGCCTCCAATAGCATAATGTCCACACCAAATTTCATAAAAATCCATCTGGTGGTTCTTGAGATGACGCACATGGACACACATAATGAACCCTAGATGCCTTCATTTCATGCGTATTGTGCAAAGAACACATAATAATGGAAAATATACATACAGATTGGGCAGATAAGAAAAGGAAGATCAGATTAAAATGTAAGCTGTAATTAGCATGTACTGAGGAAAGTATCCACACACAATCTGAAGATGGATACCAGAAGTTTCATCCACAAGACAGTATAAATTCTTTATACTGAAAATTGTTCTTTGGACAAAGTGCTACCATCTTCCTATGACGAAACAGTAGTTCAAGGGAAAGAAAAAACTTAATAAAGGACACATGCTCCAAGTCCTTTCCATAAAAACTGGGACAATAAATACATACCTAGAACATCCTCTCCATCTGGCACTTTGGTAGCTGTTTTGTCATGCATGCGATGCAACTCATCAGGAGTGGCATTGAGTAGCTGCAGGTTTCCACTACTGGCTGCCCATGCAAGGCGAATGATCGCTCTCACTGTTGTGATATTTGGAAGTTCCCAAGCCAATGCCTGGACAAACATTGGTCGCGATCTTTCCCCTTCATTCCCTGTCAGTAAAAGCTGCTAACAGAAAGATCAGTATCACATAGGACAAAATTCCACTGTAGATACAAGAGATGACGAAAGCAAGGCCAGACCCACATACCTGTTCAGCTAGATTTTGGGCCAGTTTTGATGCGACACTACGTAACATATATTCTGTGTTCTGGTTTGGTATACTGTGCAAGGCCTGTCTGAGCACAGCTACCGGACTACGAGGAGAACTGCTAGCGGGCGCTGAATTGGTACTACTGAAGCAGAGTCCTAGGTTTCCGCTACCATTCCCATCTGGTGCTCCACAATCAGTCTGCTGTGGTGGCGATTGCTGAGGGTCATCCACGACACAAGCCATGACATGACCAATCACAGTCAGAAGAAGCTTGCACATCTTCAATACTGTCAGATAGGCAGACCTGCAGGCAGGAATTTAAAAGCTCATCTTAAAAGTTCTTCTCAGCAGCCATGAATAACAAACATTCCAGCAGTGAGGGGAGAATTCAGTACAAAATTTCTAACAAAGTTTCATAAAATATGCACAGGTCATGAGTTCAAAATAAACACTCTGTTTAACCCTGTGGTATAATATGAAGTTTATGCAGTGGCTACAATTTTGATAGATTACAATATGTAAACACATCCCAATTATTCACTTGATACTTTGCTTCTTTATATTTATTTCTTTATGTGGCCAATACGAAGGCAGAGATTTATCATAAGTCACCAACAGCATGGAGAATGAGTCTGAAGTCCCACGACACCAGAAACACAAGAATGAAACATCCATTTGGTTCCACTGTTCAGATATTGTTATCACATGAGAACACAAGGAATATAATATTCTTTGTTACATGACTGGTCAGAACATTATAAACAAACGTCAATGGCAATAAGGCTTTATCAATTCAAGAGCCTGCTTTCTAGCATTCAACATAACACTGCATGCATTTATTTATCTTCTGACAAATCATTATAAGATTCAAAAAAGTTAAACTTCCAAATTACCACAAGTGCATTTCTATCTATGTGATGAGGAGTTGCAGCATTTCAGAGCGACAGAGAGCTGGTAAACTTACTGTAGGCATTTAATTTACACTGTTACTCTGCAATCCTTACAAATAAATAAGCAAAATCAATTATTTTTTGTAATATAATGCAGGTTCTCACCGTTTGGTGGCAACATCAGCATTGGGCAGAAAATTATTTTTGGTTAACATGTCCAATATAACTGGAGCATCCCCACTCTTCATGAAGTTGTATTGGAATTCAAATGCTTTGTCTGAAAGCGGCTCTATTGCAGGCATCAGTAAAGCATACATCACCTGGAAAAGGAAATTATTCATAACTCATCTTCTCCAAAGGTCTACTTCAAGTAGTAGGAATGAAACTTAATATTTTACTCCCCTCCAAATGCAATTTAAAACAAAATGTATAATTCATTTTCAGCTGTGCATAAACATATTCTGCTACAAAAAGTATTAAAATTCTCCATCTTTATTCTAAAAGGCGTCTCCATCTTCAGGGCAATCACCCTGATGACAGAGGCAGCAAGGACCTCTGAAATGTTGGCAAACTTCTACCAGACTGCACGGCTCTACAACCCAGAAGACAACCATATTTATTCTGCATTTTTCTATTGATCACACCATCAATTTTCCCTTTTAAATTGATTTCACTTCTCAAACAAATAACTATGTCCACCTCTAACAAATGTCATGAACTCCTCTTCTGATATTTGTGTCTAGGTTTCTTAAAATCATCATAGTAATTTTCTTGACATATTTCTTTATAATAAGGTTTCAATGATTTTTTTCTCTCTTCATTTTCATCTTTCTCCCAAAATTACTTTTTTTTGCAGGTATTAATATTTTCATGAAAACATGTCAGTATTTCTATTAGTGTACGTAATTTTTATAGACGCACATAAAGAGGCTTGGATGTCATACATCACACTTAAATTGGAAATGTATTAGGATGAAGAAGGTGATACAGATAGAATTAAATTTCTACACTTACCTCTAGGTGATAAAGAACTTGTGAGGGTGAGGTTCCAAAGAAAAGACTCTCTACACTTGGTGGAATTGCTACCGTGTTGTGATTGCCTTGCTCAATGACAGATGCCCCATTTATGCCTGCCCTAGCATGACTCTGAAACAGGTTTTGAAGGCATTCCACAGTGTAGGTGTCTGGGGGAATGAGTTTGAGCAGCATGCGGGCCCCATCTCGTAGAGGTGGGTAAAGAAGCTTGCAGCCCAAGTCTGCCAGTTGGAAGAAGAACTGGGCACAATGAGGCCGCTGTGACATTAGCTGAAACACGTATAAAAATAAATTGTGAGAAAACCTCAACAACTAGGTTCAAAAATGGATTAATTTTAATTAATACTGTATATAAAATAGCTGTGCAGATGGATAATTAATTTGAATTGACTGAATTAAGTATATTTTTATTCAATGACATACTTACCACCCCAGGTAAACTGTTCTCTGCCTCAACATTGGGCCCGTCGTAAGGATGTTGCGGTGAGCTCGTTGAACTATCTGAACTGCTATCTGGGGAACTTGGCATATTTGAGTTCACTTGGCACAGCTTTGCTGATAGCAACTGTAAATGTAATAAAATGGAAACTAAGACATCACTTCTGAAAACTGATAAAAAAAAAGTCTTGCATAATTGTCAACTCAGGCAAGTTCAAAGGATCAAGAAATTAATGCCCAGATCCATTCATGAAATAATGTTTCTAAACCTAAACTCCTTTCCTCATTTTAGTATTTAAAGGATATACAGCAATGTTTATATAGGATTGTTATTTCACATTTAAACTGCATGATGCAACATCACTACCTGCAATAGACCTTATCAGACACAGGCTTTCAGGCTATTCTTTTATCAGTGATTCACATTTCCAGGCAGAGTGTGGGTTAGTGTTTGAGATGGTACTGAAAGTAAGTATATAGCAGAACACATTTTCAACCATGGCATTTATGTAAAAATCAATTCAGCTTGTCACAGAAAATTTCAACAAAAATTCCCTGGTGTTAATATTCCTGTAAGGTCTACAAGGAAAAATGTTGGCAATGACTGTTTTTCTTTAAACGGGCACGCAATCATGCAAAATAACTCATACTTGTCCTCAGAAAACCCTACAGTTCTTCATGGAGTGCTACTTCATGGTCCAAAAGTTGGTGTACAAAAATCAGTATCAAAATGGCATGCTCTGCTCCTGTTCGTGCATCTCATTGTTATGTCTTTTTCTGATCCCGTGAAAGATGAGCTGATAAAAAACCTCTACTATACATAACAAACTCACCATTTTGTCTCTGAGAGGAACCTGGGAGAGCAGCTTCCGGTCATCAACTGGATCTAGCAACTCGCCATTTATGAAGAGATCCAGCTTCACATTGGCCCCACTTGCCTTGATTCGACGTAAAATCTGTCTACGTAGAGATGCTAATGTGTCATTACTGTGCGTGAAGATATCCAGATCATCTACCGCCCTACCAGGATTTGAAAACCTAACTAGTAGCGCTAGATGCTTCCCTCTGCAAGCTCTGCAATAAAAAGGTTTTTAATAAATTTACAAATTGATAAAACATAACTGATACTAACGTGTCCTAATCTGTCCCAACAAAAACAATGTTAACATACATGAACACTTCAGCTGATTCATCAATACAAATAATAATCATATTGATGATGGTAAACATTCAAAGAACGCATAACACTTGACTCCAACAGTAACCATGTAAAGTGTTGGAAGCAAATTCCCACTATGGACACCAGATTGCAGAACCTCAGTGTCTACCTCACAACTCCTCATCTCTCAATTTATCAACACTCATAGGATATTCAAAAGACCGATTTTGAGATCGTACCAAATTTCATCCAAATCCGTCCAGCGGTTCTTGAGTTGAATCGACTGGACAGATGAACAGACATAACCGACCCACGTGTTCTCTCACTTTGTGCAAAGTATGCACGTGGAAACTGTGTATTCCGATATGCTTACACCTCTGCAGTCTCGTTTAAATGAGCTTCAGCCTAAGGGGTTAATGTGAGAACAAGTTTCACACCCTTACAAAATGGTGGGTAAAATTATACTTTTGTACACTTTAATCTTTGTTTTCAGACAGCAAATGGTAAGACAATAGATTCTGAAATGCATGGTAGCAAGGCTACACTGAATTTAATCTGCTCCTAATTCGTTCATAAATCCAATTTTGATTTGTTAACAGTGTTCCCAAATATTTGTACTCTTTCATATTTCCAAAGAACTTATTAGCCAACTTTACTGATTTTGGCCTGTAGTATGGTGATGAGACATGAAAATGTACTCAATTTCCTATGTGGTTACTTCCATATGAACCTCCTTATTAGCATTTAATAAGCTTGTGTTTTTATTTAAAATATTTATATCCCCACCCAATAAATTAACATCCAGCACAAAACAAATGCCAACATGTCCCTTTAAATTCCATTCCCTCTTCATTTTTTAGACATTCATAATGGTGATAAAGCATCTCTGTTTCAGACAATTCTGAATAAAGAATGCGTCAAACAAATGTATACCTATAGTCTACAACTGTAATCTTGAGACTTGCAAGGAATGCAGAAAGTCCATAGCGTTAAAGGCAGACACTATCTTTCCTCCTTCCTCCTTCACCCAACTTCCTCACCCCACAAGTCTCAAGATTACAGTAATGGACTGTATATGAACCACACTACTGGTTTAATTTAAATACATTTCAATTAGCCCCACTAGTTTCATGGGTACACTGAATTAAATTGGAATGATTTATAACACCACAAAAACTATTTGAGAAACAATAAAATTTTGTACAGATCATAAGAGGTGTCACGAATACATGAAGTTAATCTGTTTTAGTCCACTGCAACCCCACTTTACACAAACCTCCATTACCAGTGAAATAAAAAACTTTCCACACCACCAGAAAATGGGTGACAAAACATTTATCTAACCACAAAAGGTAACCTTTACATTAATATCTTCCTATATGGTGTACATTTAATAAAATATGAGAAGGAAGAAGCAAACAGTGTAATATCTCTACTATTAATTGGTTCTGTCAAAAAAGACCTGTATCTGTAATCAATGAACATCAGCATTCAATACTGCAGAATTCCAAAGAAAGAATCTGGAACCTCGGTGTATTCCTAACTGCAGCCGACATTTTTACGACAGTTTATTTATTATCAACACAGTTGCCTAAAATTGATTTGTATCAGTAACAGCTATCTCTAGCAAACAACTTCTAGCTTTTGCCTACAATTTAAAGGTTCCACTACGTAATCTGCACTTGTATCCAAAAGACAGGCATTATCAGTAACACGAGTTGAAGTAATGCTGTACCTGTGTAGAGGCAGTATCTTCCTCTCTACAGTGAAATCGCCATCGCACTCTCCTATGTACTCCTGCAGCACCTTCATCACACGACACATTTTCACAGCCTCGCCTTTCAGTTTGTTTACTGTAACCTGTGAACTAATGAGCCCACCATCCTCCTTGATCCCGTCATCTTCGTGAGACAGAACTGACACCGTATCATAGTGGGCACGTAGTCGATCTAGGCACTCCGAAATATAGGTCTCGTGAAATTCGAGAAGAGATGACTGCAGTCGAGGACCAAGGTTTGTGTTTACTTCTTTCAGTAGCTCAATGGCTCGATTTGCTATCTCATCACCACTGTTGGTTACAACCTGAAAAATGTGAAAAAAACTCATAGTAAGGGCACTGTAAAATTAAAAATGGCCATATTCCCCAAACTTGAACATTATAGTTCAAATTCAAGTGTGACAGTGACCATGATGTTAACATCTCTACTGTTGCCTTAACTCAAGTGCATGCACGACCCCCAGAAACCAATGCATTTTTAGTTATCACTATCAAACTCAAGCTAAATTTTGTTTTACACTGTAGAAAATTAATGCCTAACAAAAACTGCATATTTATTTAAAGACCTATTACCATACATCTATTTGGAACCTATGCTTAGGCAAAGCTAATGTTGCTCCCACCTCATTAATGTGTGCATCTGCCATGTTACTACTAGCAATTGTAGGGAACCGTAACATGAGTTTGGGGTGGCCTCCAATGGAATACATCCATACCAAAATTCATGTAAATCAGTCAACTCATTCAACAGTTTGGAGGAGGGGCACACAAAAAGTATGGTGATCTCATATAC